ATACACATAGGGCTTGAATTGAGTTTTGAAGCATTCGAGATAGAAATGACAGTTGATCTAAGCTCTTTTGGAAACATTATAAAAACAAATGATGGTTGATAAACTATTCTAATAAGTTTGACGAGTATATTCAACTTTGAATGGCCCGATATTAACATACTGTTAAAGTTATTCTGGATCAGCATGTTATCTTGAAGCATAGTGAACTTTACAAATATCTCTTTGTGCTTAGTTCTGCACAATTGCATATAACCTTAACAGAAAACATTGGCTAGATCAAGTTTAAGAACATGAAGTTCGGAACATGTGTTGAAGATGAAAACGCATTCAATTATTTAATCTACTCTCACCTCCAAAAGAAGGTGTATAGATATTTCGAATAACTAGAAAACAATCATTCATGTCTTAGAGTTGCCAGGCGTGCAATCAAGCTAATCAGGTTAATATACAAGGATTTTTACTATACGTGGAGTTTGTATTCTCTCTTTGGATTTTCAAAACTGGATGAAAATGAGGATTCCAAAAAAGATAGAGAGGAGATAAATCAATATGCTAAGAGATAGAGAGCAATCTTTAAGATATTTTGAAAATGAAGGAGAAAGTTCCAGATTTTTTTAAAGTTTCAATAGTTTTGAACCAAAAAAATTCTTAAAAGTTCAGGTTCAAGATGTTTATTAAAATATTTGACAACTCTAGAAGACAATCAATGTTAGAAAAAATTGTTAAAAAATCTATAATTTTCAGCTCTTTCAATTATTAAAAATTATATCCAACATATCAAATGGATCTGATTTTTCAGCATCAATATATGTATATATCATGAATTGAAACTTAGAATTCCAAAACCAAAATAAAAGGTATTAAGTGTAGGGAACGGCTAGTTATCTCTCACTTAGGGTTAATTAGCCCTCACTCTCCTTTACGCTATTCTCTGATTGGTCCATGCAAGTTATAGGCTTGTGGGTGAGTAGCAGCTACTTCCAAAATAGAAAGTTCGACCAATGAGGTTACAGTAGGATGAGGGCTAATTAGCCCTAAGTGAGGGATAGTTAGCCCCTCCCTAAGTGTATTGCATTTTGGAATATCAATATTTAAAAAATACTATATCTTGTATAACATGAGATGTTTTGTGGTTGTTTTCTGAAAACTTAGAAAAATATATTGTATCTATTATATGTCTTTATCATTTTTTCATGCTAACTAGGAATTCGTTTCTCCTTCTAATTTTTCATAATGCATCATGAAAATTCTGTCAAAATCCTTTACCTCGCATTAAATTCAAAAACAATCGTAAAAATTATGCACACATATTATTCATGAAATGTTTGTACTTAACTCCTGAATGTAATAAGATTATGTGAAAGAATTTCAGAAAATCGTAAAAAGAGTTTCTATGACCAAACTTCAATATACATGAGTTCATTTATGACAAAAGTTTTGAAATTATGAGTATGTGAATCATGTTTTTTTAAAAGAGTATATATGATGATAGTTTTAGTTTCTATAAATGAAACTCTGATTTTTTTATTAATAGACTTCTAAAAATTTATTAAAAAATCAACTTAAAAAATAAAATGAATTGTTTTGAATTCCATCTTTGGATGTAAAGTAAATATGAAAATTATTCAATTTATTATGAATAGGCATAAAATAGTATATAGGATATTAATTCTTTCATTTTTGTAGAAAAAATTTGAAATATAATTCTCTAGACATCTGTCTATAGATCTTATATATTGTTGATTAACCTAAAATTTTACACAATAAAAATGACATAAACCAAAAAATACAACGTGATTAAACTACATTCAATTTTCATTGCGAGTGTGTAATTGTTGCAACAAAATCAGATGTTATTTTCTATTTTTTTATGAAAAACATAACCAATGATAAATCAAAATTTATTGAATAATAAATCACATGAAGAGGTTGTAAGGAGCTATTGTTGCACATTAGAACAATATCGGAGAAGGAAAAAAAATCACCAGGTGGTAAATCTGCCACTAGAGTCAGTAATTTTGCGATAACATTCAACTATATTGGATTGTCTTAATAATTATAACATGCATCCATCTTTATAAAACTTGTCTGTGACAGAAATTTTTGGAATCTTATTCGCTATGATACTTTTATATATGAAAGTAATTTTGTTTTAATCGGTGATGTTGACATTTAATAATTATTTTATCAAAATTTTATTGAAGGTACACGAAATCAGTGTGCATTCTATAAAAATAAGGAGCTTAAAAATATTTTTTATTCACTGCTGGGGCTGTGTTCTCCTCCTATGTGAACGAAATACATGTTTTAACCTTTATGGGGCATAGAGTACCTGTTTGTCATGCTTCATTTCATTAGTTGGATATTCAATGTGAAGAAAGTTAATCACTTATATATCTTAGAAGAGAGTTAAAAGTAATTTATCATATATTTTAGGTACTACTGAATGAATGTAAGGTTTGGAGATCTTGGTGTACACCACTTAGAGTCAGTAGTTTCTGAAGACGTATTACATGTATATGATGTGACTATTTATGAATTTCTATTTTATGTACTAATAACTAACATTGCTTATTAATAAATAACATATTTCAAGCAGTTTTTGCTTCACAAATGTTTTTATCATGCTTAGTGATTTAAGACACATGGATGTATTGGCTAACACCATGAGTTTATAACCTTTGAGTTTTCATGAAGTGACATCAATCCATGTCTTGTATCACTATTTACAATTTATGATTTTGTTATAAAGGTGATTCTTGGCTCTACCATGTATCAAATGTTTAAAATGTTTTTGTCTTCACTAGCTTTTCTAGAATCAAGTTACGCATTAGCTCGATACACCAGGTTACCCATAGTTAAGGATTGTTTTTGTGGTAGTCTCTCACAAACTTACCCAAATTGTAGTCCATGGTTAACAATCAACTTCGTTGTATCAAACCTGATGATACACTACGAATTAAGTGGCTTGGATATGTTATGCGAAGTAACATACATCTCCCACCGTGATGATTTTCTTATATTAATTGCACAAGCTAAATAACAAGAAGTCAATACTCCATCAAGTCCGTGTCATAACAAAAGCCACATTACTTGGTGTCACATTATACTGTACGTTACAACTTACCTTAATGAAGCTTGTGTACGTATTGGATCTACGCTTTTGGTTTGACTAGATAATGGCAGCTGAGAAATTGAGAGAATCAGAGAGATAATAGAAGAAGTCAACTCCCCAACATGGAAGTTGACCTCCTATCTACATTTAAAGCTACGGCAAGCATCATTTATTAGCACGTCGTCCGGTAGCCAAAAGGTCGTTGTCTGCAGAGGGTATTGTTGGGATCAGGCTACGCTCATTATGGTGCTCACCTGCCTCCGTACTTTGTAAAGTACTACCCGACGAACCGGCAATACAATCATAATATTCAATACAGTTTGTAAGACATGTAACTTTTCGATGTACAGTATCCAAATTGCTTTGGTGAGACAGGACTTGCAATTCATGTATTGATTACTTATGAAAAAATCGAGCTATTTCTCTACACTTATTTTACATTTAAATTGACATCACTGGGAAGGCTCATTCTTACAACTTTCAAATGCTTCATAAATTTTATTCTTGTAGATCTCTCCAAATTTCATCAGATGAATTATGTTCTAAAACCTATTCGCAATTCAAATTCGATTTTCTTTAAATAAGTGGACTGGGCTAAGTGGACCAAACTCTAGAGTTTTTTTACAGCCTTACGAAAATAAATTGAAAAATTTTCTTCCATCAATTTATATAGTTGTAGCTGGAACTGTTGCTTGATCAATCAATGAGGTTGGCGATGGCAGCAAAAACTGCGTCTCATCCATATGTATAGTACCCTTTCCGGCTTCTAGATTTCAATATCTTGCTTAGGACGTGAAAAGCACGACGGCGACATAAAGAATCAATTGAAGGCGTCGGTTGGATCTGGTGGTGGATGGTCCACTTTCCTTCGGACTCTAAGTTTCTAGTTCAGTCGTCATTATTAGGATATGAACACAAGCCAGGGACTGTTTGTTACAGGGGTGTTTGTCCGTATGAAAGTTTATATTTATACTGGAGACTGAAGCTAAAATTGTACGATTCTTCATCGATGCTAATTTGTATTCAAAATGTACACATACGGGGATGATACACGTTCGGTGTGATGCCATCACACCGAACCCTTTGACCCCCTTGACCAAATCTCCCATTTCCAGATTGTTTAATCCCAGTCTTCCAGTTGTCGGGCTCTACACTGTACAAATTCCTCTTCAAGGATATGATATATGCTCTACGACCCTTGAATGGCAAAATGTCCAGAAAACTACACATGCTATATTGTGATGACTACTTGTAGCTTGCTCAATGTGTTGCTCTGTGATTGGCAACTTGCGACATGCTACATTGTTTTTTCTGTTAGAATGCAAGTATCTTACAAGTCTATGATTCAAAAACCATACTTCCTTCATGCGTATTCAAGGGCTCCCATCCTCTTTTTCCACCAAGTCCACTGTTCTACTCTGCATGCATCATGTAGTCTACTTACCGCTGGAGTTTCGTTGAATTATAGAACACGAGTACAAATTCACGCGAGCTTTACAGACTATTAACTGCGCCATGCCATGATGCGTTTGTATCTCATTGTGTAAGAAATTTGTAAAAAAGGTAGGGTATACAACACTGGAAAGCCATGAAGTGAAGAATGCACAATATCAACGATGGGTCGGATTTTGTTGCTGTCCGATTTCGCTGTCCTTCTGATTACAGTAGTGAGTTCTTTCTTGTGCAGGGCGCGAGGTGCTCATGAGCGTGACAGACCAAAAGATGGCTTGGGGAATGATGACACAATCAAGTGTGTGTGAATAAGTCCAAAAACGCCACTCACTTTCTCATAAGTCCAAAAGTTTGTCGTATGATGGTAAGTTACAATATTATTTATGTATACTATATGGGTCGATCTCCTAGTAGTGTATATACTGTATCTCCATTCGATATTGTAGCATATGGCTTTAGCTCCGGACTCGACATGCAAGAGGCGACTGGCCATTCGTCCATGTTCTGGGTTGCGCGAAAGTTCAAATGTTCAGATAGTATGCGAGTTCGACAGGAAAAATAATGTACAGGGACTGATCGTACGAGAGAAATACGTGGGGGAGTAAGTCAGAAGTTCAGATTCGTAGTGATGAGAAACAGGGGGTAGGGAGATCCAGCTGCTCATCATCTGCAGCAGAAGCGGGTCGCTGACTTGCTGACACCCGAGGCATTTATTAATGCACAAGTGCGGCCATACTTCTCTTCGATCGGTCACACTAGCAACATACTGCCAGTCCAAATTTATCGTAACTACACATGCGACTTCCCACCAGCACCCCGAAGCTCTCCTGATGTCGCCTCCTTATAATGCTTGACTTCGATCGCAATTCTCACATCTTTCAGCTCAGTCTTCTTCACCTGGAGGACTCCTCTTCTCCGGAACGCTGTCTACTTACGCGGCGAAATTTCAAGGTACTATTCCATTGATGCCCTCAGTCTCCTGGCAGGACTTGCATCGCAACATCCAGTACTCGAGTAAGGCCACTCTTCTCGCCCCAAATCAAGCGGATATGTCCATGCTCCTTTTGCATGACCAGCCTCCTAGCGTGCCCCATCATTGTGACGCACACACTTTTTGGCTGAGAATCAGCTGTTGCACTTTTGCTGCCTACGCTCACCATCGAAGGACCGCAGCAGCCTTCACAGTTCGTTTCTTGAATTAGGACCTCTTCCACAGCAGTTTGTGTGTCGTTGGTCCATAGTTGCAATCCAATGCTGCGCGAGTTTGGGCTCTTCCTTCCATCTCCTTCCATTTCCCTCCGGGCCACGGTGTTCGAAGCATTAGTGGGCGGTCTGCGCTGAGCAGTGCTGGGCTCATGGGCTTCATGTGAGTACTAAACGTGTGGGATTTGGGCATGTGCAGAGACCTTGTTCCTGATCGACTAGCACCTAGAAGGCTTTCTGCAGCTCGTGAAAATGGCAGAAATGGGACGAGCTCTTGGAGCAACTGAGGAGAACTGGACCAAGGCAACTGCCATGGGAACCGGAATCCAGGTTATTGGAATTGCCTTGAAGAGAAATGTGGAGACGAAGCATATTACTCAGGCTGCGCGGGAGGTAATGGAACGCCACGCCATTCTGAGGTCCAAGATTGTGGAGAACTCGAAAGGCAAGCTTGTGTACGAACTTCCGACTGGCTCACCAACACCATCGCTGGAGGTGTTCCCCTGGCCTTCGTCAGTCAGCAAGTGTTCCGCCGTCCTCACTCTGCCTGGAGACAGTGGTGATCTGAGCCTGGCCCTCAACCACATTGTCAAGCAAGAACTGAACACCTACTTCCCCAACGCTGCCTCCAAATTTACTGGCCCCACTGTGGTCTTCCAACTTCATGTCTACGCCGAACCATCTCAACCCAAAACGATCATCGTCCTGAGAATGGTCAGTGGTGCTATTGACAGACCTGCAGCCTCCACAGTATCGCAGAGCTTTCTCACTGCCTTGAACGCGCTCGTCGACGGGCAGCAGGCAGAGTTACCGGAGGCCCCTGGAAAGGAGGAAGCTCTTCCTGCACTCGAGGACCTGATTCCCAAGGGCAAATCTAAAGGCTTTTTCCAGAAAGTGGGTGACACGGTGGGGTACGTCGCAGCTGCAGGAAAATTCGTCCTTTACCCATTCCATTCTGGGTTTTCGGAGGCTAAGATTAGCGATTTTCAATCGGATATTCTAAGCTACACACTCGGGAAGGATGGTAAGAGATTTGCCCTCGGATGGGAGGATTGGATGTTCTCGAGCTCTTTCATGCCATCCTTTATATGTTGATCAGATAGTTGGCGTTGCGGGAGTTCTTCACTTCTGAAGCGGACTCTGTTGTGGCTCTGTCATTCAGGTACGGCTGCTTTGATGGCAGCCTGTGAAAAGGAGAAGACGACGGTGTCCGCCGCTTTGAGCGCTGCCTTCTTAAAAGCCTCTGCTGGCGCGGACGAGCTCAAGGGCAAGAAGTCACACTTCAGCTTCACCACCGTGGTGGATCTGCGACCCCACTTCGACCCTCAAATTGCCCAAAATGCTCTCGGGAACTACACCGGTGGCCTATCACAAGATGAACAAGTGAAGGCAGATGCGGACTTCTGGGAACTTGCCCGAAGTGTTTCTGCAGGAACTCAGATAGAATTGGACAAGGGTAGACAATTCTCCGAGCTCTCAGTGATGAACATGCTCTTCTCCCAGGTAATCAACCTCACTCGCAGTTGTGTTTCTGGGGTTGAGCATCTTGCAGGGTGCCTTAGTATGGCAGCTCGCTGCAACTCGTAATGACTCCTCGTGCAGAAACAGAAACTGATGCAACATTTGTCCATGTGCAGGTGTTGAAACGGCCTAGTTTGACACTGAAGTCCTCGCTTCGAACAGCTTTGTTATCAATTTTCGCTAAGACTTTCGATGCCAGATGGAAGGATACTGAGAAGTTGCAGCTCGCGGGAACCTACGGTCCTTTCGCTTCTATGCATGGTGCTGGTCCTTGCTTCTGCATAGGCGAGGCCCTCCTGGAGGGACCTGAATTGAATCTGTCTGTAGTCTTCCCGACCCCGGTGTATGCTAGAGATCAAATGGAAGGATTGGCAAATGCCGCTCTGCAAATCCTGAACGCAGCGACGAATTAGATTAGCTGGATGTTCTCCTGAGCTGTTCATGGGTTGGTGGCCTGAAAGCAGTATCCAATAGCGTTCAGGAGCCAGTGATGCTTGTCAGATTCTAGAGATGGGTATATTTGGTGACATATTGAGACACATTGTCCCTAAGTGAATTGTAGATAGAATAATGGTTAGTTCGTAAAGCTGAGCAACAAATTCAATGTCATCGCCTCATACTAGTCAGGATGTTAGGTTCTCTTCACTAAAGAGTATTTCAGAATCAGTGCACCAGTCGACTCGCCCCTGAGTCGCGGTTCCCGATCAAGGTTTGTCATCTTCCAAGATGTAACGCCCTGTAATTTTGGGATCCTGGATACTAATGAAGCTTGGAATAGAGTTGATCATCCCCGCTGCTCGTTGTGTTGTCCATATTTATGAATTCATGTTCGTCTGAGGTCGTATTACATCTGACAACCTCAAAGCAGCTCAGCTTTTCGAAAGAGCCAAGGTATTAACCAAATTCCCAGCTTTTTGTACATGAGTTTCTTCTCCCATAACTTGGACTTGCATGTGATGTCAGCAATACTACAGGGCCGCGAGGTGGCCGATTGAGCATCGTGAGTTGAAATAAGTGTGCTCCCAAGCACGAGACAGAATTCATGCACGCAATCAGATCAACAGATAAATGAGCGCTGAACCTGATAACCGGCTAGCATTTACTGCGCAGGTGCGCATGGTTAGATGTTACAATTACTGAGGAGGGCAGTCCAACTTATGTCGAATCGTGCCCGCCTCCCATTGCTCTACCTGGACAAGCAACTGTGCACGGTGCACAGTCGATGTTTCTGGGTGCACGGAACTGCAATTCTTCTTTTGTTATAATCAAATGTTATGATTCCTCTCCGTGGAAGGATGGAGGGTTATAATATGACATGTGGCACACTGGTTCCTGCAAACCACTTATTACAACGAAAGAATGCGTGTCGAGTGTAGACGAGGAAAGTGAGGATAGGACAGTTTTCTGACACCTTTGCACTGACAATCATACGGAGTGAAAGTAGTTCACATCGGCCTAATGATGATGTCCCGCTTCAGACCGCAGTGGCAGCAGTAATTTAGTGTGGAAGAAGACACTATCTAGTCTACGCCCTGTTCAAGCATTGGAAACTTCACCTTACCTGCTGAATCTACTTTTTTTGCGCGCTTGATTTCACTCCCTAGACATGATGCGTTTGGTCCAGAACCAAAGAATGTGACCAACAATCTCGTGCATAATGCGCATGTGGTAGTCATGGCTACCTTGAGATCCGCGAAAAATATACATTCATTACTTTGGCCATGGTGAATTAGAAGATGACATGGATTCAATGATTAATAGTAACGTCAAATCGTGAAGATGGAAGACACCAATGGGAAGAGGTGGAGTAGTTACTATTAGCATCATAACGATGAATATGTACTGTTTCAATTAATTTATCCAGAATATCCGATTAGAGAAAACTGTGATAAATAATCAAATACGATTCATGCAACCTAGAATGATTGGTAAGCTTATTCCCTCATAAGTTACAATAACTCCATAACTTTGTAGAAGTAATCTCTTTCCATATCAATTTATATAGATGCTTCAGCCATTCCAACCGCTAAAGTGGCTTGAACATAGGCTAATCCTCCCATTTACGTTAAGTACCATGTCTGCTTCCATATATTTATATTTCATAGGTTCTGAAGTTATTGAATGCATGATAAGAAAATTCAGATTTTTCACTTTGAGAATGATGTTGTTTTAGATAAGCGGGAATTTTTATCTATAACCACAATGTCTGCAACAATGGTTTGATTGTCATGATAGAAGTTTAAGTTTGAATTAACACGATTTTTGGATAAACATATCAATGCTTTATCTACTTGAGAATATACTATATCTTGATTTAGCATATAACTCAGAATATATAGCTATTTTGGTGGGAGTGGTTAGTTATACGTCAACCTATTGAACAAAGCTCTGTGATTGGTCAGAGCTATCCCAGAGTTATTTATTATATCGTAGGGTGATGGATAATTAACCCAAACTGGGGGATAGTTGTTACCATTTTTTGCTAGCAGCTAGTTATCTCAACATGAGACTAGTTCGGAGATGTAATAACTAGCAACTTTGTACAAACCATGTGAAAATTTGTCTAAGAGAGCTACGTCAAATAGGATCTATCAATGCAACACTCAAGCAGAGGATATAAATCAAAGAAAATCTTTAACTAAAAGAATCAACGAGCATAGAGCGTGGAGCAACATTTGGCTTCATATTTGGTCGGGGAGCAAGCCAAATGGTGTCCTAGATATGTGCACGCATTAAAACCCAAAGTTGGTTGATCCAAATTTTAGGTCTAACTAAAGAGTGGATTAAACTTAGTTAAATCATTATTTATTTATGTTAGTTATAACTAAAATAATTTAATTATTTTATCTTTAATTATTTTTATATATAGAGTATCTTTTAGAAGTTGTAAATGAGAACCACACTTTATGTTTATTAGTTATCAAATACTAGATCACTACCATTAAACATTGACTACATTCTGATTTTTTCTTGATTTGAATAGTGGTAATATTTAATTAGTTGCACCGAGTGATAGTTTTGACATGATATACTAAATGTCAAATTGGAATATTGGAAATTATACGATTCTCAATGACATGCCATTGAGACTTATAATATCTGGAAAAATAAATTACTAGGTAGATCAACCAAAAATTATCATGCTATTTTATTTTTATTTTTTATATGATGCCCATGAAGATACCTTCTAACTTTGACAAATTCACAATATGATTTTACTCTAAATCTAAAACTTTGTATCATTAAGAGCTATGTTTAAATTTTTTATGTAGGAGCAAAACTGCAATCCAATTAACTATAGCTACATTGTTTAAGTAACAACACTTGAGTTAATCATTAACAATTTTTTCCTTCATTCATCTCTCAAGATTTGTAAGATTTAATAGTTGTATGGATACTATACACGAATTCTTAAACGTTGAACTAATAAGTTTTTTTTAACTTGCATGGATTAAAATTAAGCAATAATCAAAACAATGTAACAAAAAAATCAGATAAAGACAACACTATTGCTATTTTATTACATGTAGATGCACAATATGTTTCCAAATCTAAATGAATAAACATTTTGTTCGTGCATAAGCTGTATTGAAGTGTAACTCAATGTGAATAGCTCAATTTTTTAACAAAAATCTTCATCTATGTTAAATTGAAATATAATGTAGTTTTGTTTGATCTTTCTGCATTATTTGATTTGCTTCAAAATGTAATGCATTGCAATTGTCATAGTAATTATCACAATGAAATTAGATAACATCATATCAAAGATAAGTACTTTCAGCAAAATTCAGTTTTTTTCTACCTACGTTTTGAACATCCACACCTATTTAAGCTCATTCTGTAAAATAGATAGATTTTGAAGAATGCATACATCCTCAATTGAAGATATAAATATGATTGAAGATTTTTTTCTTGTCCATATTATGTCTATATTAAATTTCAATTTATCACATGGATTGGGCATTGTTTGAATAAATCAACCAAAAAAAACATCACTACACGTTAAAATTATTTAAAAAAACATCAAACTTGAAATCATAATATTTTTAGATTATTTAATAATCCATCAAACAAAAGATCATGATTGTTATATCTTTTGGATATTTGAAAAATCACTAAATAATATCTTTTTCCAAAATTTGATATTTATTTTCAATTTTTTTATATGAAATGTTCAAGGTTTGATGCATATCATCAAATACAATTACTTATGATACAACAATGATCAATTTTATTTAAAAAAAGGTGGGATCATTTTATTTCATTTGATATATTGAATTTTTATTTCAACAAGTTTGCTTGCAAAAACTGAATTTTTATTTCAAAGTAGTTCACATTTTAAAAAAATATGACATATTAAATCTTTCAAGCACAAGTTCGATTTATTTGTCTTGATTCAGTCTTGTCATTTTTCCTTCATCCTTGTAAACATCCATTCTTGATAACATCTTGAACTTATGCAATTATTTTGATTTGAACAAAAATCTTAGTTAATTTTGCATTATTGACGCTAGATTGTTTTTTTACAAATTAACATGTCAAGCATATAAAATAATAATTCAAAAAAATTTCAATTACTAAATGTTTTATCCCTACATATAGATTTTTATGCTTTCATAACTCATAAAAAATTGCTTATGAGGTAACTTTTAAGACATGAAATTATTTTATGAGTATAAAAAATCAATTTACTTTTCATATTTTGAGAAAAAACTTGTGATATCATTTTAATTTGTTTCTTCTATATTTTCAAAAACAAATGCTATATTAGTATTCAAATTATAAAACAAAATTACTACCTTCAAGCTTAACAAATTGTCTTCATGAAATTAAAACATGCAAAAAGAAATAATCATAATCAAGCAATACTATCAAAATTTGCTTTCATAATCAATTTTAATATAAACCAGAATTTAAAAAATTTATCATTTAAAAAAATAATATTAAGCTCATAAAAATAACTTGTTATTGTATAAATAATGTTAAACATTTGATTTTATATAAAATGTAATATTTTTAATATATAACTTGATTATATCGATAAATAAAAATATTTTTAACATTAATATGTTTGGAAAATTCATCTTGTACAACTTCCAAATTTACAAATATGCAAATATGATTGTAAATTGCAAAATTTTTGATTTTTGCAATAATTTTTTTTAAAATTTTAATGAATTATTTAATTACAAAATAATTTATGTGAAATTTTAATTGACAAGATATATACAATTTATATCCTGTAAATTTTCATAGTGTTTGCATATTTTTGTAAAAATCTTTCATAATATACATAAAATATTTCACAAGATAAGTTTTAATATCATAAATCTCTAAAGTTGTATAATCTAAACATTTATGTGAGATTTGATCCCAATTAATTAAAAAATTAATCGAAATAAATTATTATTTAAATACCATATTGTTTACAGCTTAAGTGTAATTTTTTTTTTATTAATATACGATCAAAATCCAACAAATACTTATAGATTTTGGTAAAAAATTATTGAATCATTTTTCTCTAAAAGAAGAAGAAAAAAAAGCATGAAAAATATTTAAATAAAAAATATCACATTTTGTAATTACATTGACATTGTATGAACAAATAATGATTCATTTTTGCATGAAATCAACTGTTGCTGTGCAAACCAAAGTATGATAATTTGCATCATATATGAAATTAAAAAAAAACTATCACTTTGAATTTTGTGATAACAAAATGAAAGCTTTTTATGTATGATGCTAGAATAGTGAAATTATAATTATTTGAAAAATCACATTCATATAAAATTTGATTCAACACATTTATGCAAACAAAACTGTTGTTTCTTGCTTGAAAATATGAGAACGGCTAGTTATTTCTCACTTAACGCTAATTGTCCTCACCCTAGGCTAATCTTATCATTTTAAGCACTACTTCTTTCCGCTTCCCTCGGACCGTCAAGACTACATTGCCCATTTGGTCTATACTTGCATGAGTAAATCAATCAAAGATTTTCTTCTGATTATAAGTGATAATAAGTGTTAAGTGATAAATAACTAGCAACTTTTAAAAATATTTGTGTTTAGTTAAGCATCATAATTTGTAAAATAATTTAGTCTTTTTTTTTACACATTAATATTGGATCATTTTGTCTAAAATAGAGCAAGAAATACTTAGCTTAAAGTTGAATTCTATATAAAAATATCATATGTCATGAAGATTAAAAATTATGATGTTTATAACCATGATAATAGTTCGTATATAATGTAGCAATTGACTCACGCAAAAGTTAAAAAAGTCATGTGATGATTGATCTTAGTTTTTACAAATTTTGCACTTGAAGAAATTTGTATCATGAAAAATTATCAAAATTAAGCTTGCAATATTTTTTGGTCATGCCAATCAAACTATAAATTTTGAAAAATAATAATGATTGACAAATTAATCGTTGATTGTGTTGTTAATCGATGTTAGTAATATACTTGAATCTTTTGTTAGTATATGTAAAACTGAACTAAATTAGTGAAACATGTTAGATATTTTATATATAAGAGGTCACAAAAGCTCTCAGTAACATTTTCAAGATTTTTAATTTGTGTTGTTTGAGTTATTTTGGTGTACGTAATGTGCAAGAATGAATCAAATATATTTGATGTTGGCTGTGTTTGTATTGCGTATGTTTGCATTTGCATTTTTGTGTTGATGTATGTTTGAGTGTTTCATTCATGCAATTTTTTTTAGTAGATAAAAGCATGACAATTGATATGTGAATATTAAATTGTTTTCCACTTATGTAATGTTATCAGAGTTCTTTGCAATCCAATGACAAGATTTGGCTTTGAAGTTTATTGACTTTTAATAAGCTTGATATATAAAGATTTAGAATACCTGCGTATTCAAGACAAAGTGCGAGTCAAATACAACTTTGCTAGAGGTTACATTATTTAATTTGACACAAATCTTTGCTCATAGAAGAAGATCAAAAGAATGAAGTAACAACAATTAGATTTCAAAAGAAATTTGTATACTTATGCTTACAACACACAAAAACTACAAATATTATGATGATGAATATGAAAAAAAAATGTTTGAGATTCTAAATTTTTTCAAAATTGATACATTCAAAACAATTTTTAGTTTTGAAGAAAAAAAGTAATCAAAACAAAAGATTTACCAGAAAATAACCACAATAAAAAATCATTAGCAAAACAAACAAGGTCAAATGTGTTGAGTTGTGATACATTGTGAAGATCAAATCTATCTGAAATTCAAACAGACTTATAAAAAATTAAAATCGATTCAAAAGTTTTTTTAGTCAAATTTGACTTTGTCTAATATTTGTCGAGTTGAATTAAATCTTCATGATTGCGATGTGATTCAAATGCAACAAACAAAAACAATGTCAAACACTTTATTTGCATAAAATTAAAATTTAAAAAACAATTCAAAATCAATAACTTTCTAATTTCATTGATCAATTAATTTTTAAAATTATTGATTAATATCCAATATGCATCAGCGCGCAACAAATATATGTAGTCAAGACAAATTAAAACTTATAATAATATAAAAGATCAAGATTAATGAAGATTATGGTGCAGACAAGATCCAGCATTTGCAAGTCAAAGTTGATTTAACATTGTGTTCAAATGACTCAATTACAATAATGGGACTTACAAATTGGAGCATGAGGAGATCTTTGAACGCAAAAAGCAAAAAATTCAATTTTTTTTTGTTTGTGTACATTCAAATTTTCCAAATTAAAAGAAAATAAAGTGAAAAATTGATAATCAAATTGATCAAACGGTGTTTGTATAGCTTACAAATTTGTGGATTTTATTTAATACACATGATTATTGACAAGCTGAATATGACATACTCAAATAACATAGATGTGATAATTATTTGCTTTGAAAGAGAAAACTTAAAAGCAAGTTGAAGGTTATGGATATTAAAAAGATATTAAGGGCTAAATTATCCGGGCTATTATGACTATTTTTATAATATATTTATTGCATCTAATGCGTTGTTGTATTAATAAGGGTAATTAGATATATAATAGAAATAAAAGTAGCAGAAAAAACTATATGGTGAAATTGATTTGTCATTATTATGAAAATGTTTCATGAGATTATAAATCTTTATTGTGATAATTAGAATGCATTATAGTTTGCTACAAATCAAGTGATGTACAAAAGAGTATAACAGATTGAAATTAGATATGATTTTATAAAAAAACAGTATTCAATAAAAATTTTAAACTAATCAAGATTGACAATGAATTTAATTCAGATAATGTTTAATTTGAAATCTTTTGAAAGATAATATGTTACCTTGTGGTCTTGATTGAAGAGAAAAAGTTGAGTTTACTAAGAAAGTTTTTTGTCTTTCTATATAATTTTATTTTTTCTTGTTTTTTATGGCTTAAAATCAACCAGCTTTAGTCTAAAGAGTTCCATATGTTAGATTTAAATCTAAATTTTCTCACAAAACATGTACATAGATTATGCAAATTATGTACTATATGGTATGAGTTAGGGAAAAATTGTTAGTATTCTTGTATCACTCAAATATTCTTGTAACTCATGTTACTTTAATCCCAGTTTGAATTTAGATTAAACTGTCACAATATAAGAGAGATTGTGAGAGCTTTCACTCACACAGATTAGGAAATACCAATGAAACATTTTGTGTTTTTGTGAACATCACGTATCTTAATGTTGGTATGTGTGCTTGTGAGTTCTAGACTTTTTTCAGGTAATTTAACGTAATAGTTAATCTTTTTGATATTTTATGTCATATCGAAATATATAAATACTTATTAAAAAATAATAATTGTTAATAATGAAATGCACTCCACATATATAGCCGAGAAAAAAATATTTTGTTGTTCAAGATTTCTGCTAATCATACATGTTATAATTCTTGATAAAATTGCATATATATTGGAAGATGTTAAGTGACGTCAAACATTACACCTAATTTTTAGTCTCTCACTTGGAACTTTTTTGGATTGCAATGTATAAATTAAATATATTTGTCTTTGATTACTTGTTCATACCTAAACACAAATGATACAATTTGAAATTTGTTACTTTCATTAGTATTTTGTAACTTTATTATCAAATCCACAAATCCACATACATATATTCAAAAAGAAGAAATTGACCAAAAAAAAAACTAAGTTAAATCAAATGGATTTTGAAACATCTTATATGAAAATGTTATAACCTACATCCTTGAAAAAAAGACATATGAGGATTATTTTTCATGCAATCAATAAAACAGAGTATTTTATCAAAACAGTTGCTAATCAAAAGAAGATGAATAATAATCGGGAACATGACACGTAGAGACAGAAACTTTTGGTGTATGTAACTAGAGAGAGGTGAATTTAGTCTGCCAGGTGACAAGACAAGATCAGGTCCTCCAGTTGCACGCCTAAGAGGGCGTCCCATTACACTACGTTCCATGTATTCTAGCCGGATTTGAGTACTTACAATAAGTAAATGAATCAATGGATACATCTCTAACTCAAAAAGAGTTCTGAGTTAGAGATACAAGTCTGTATACATTTTCGAGACAAAAATAGTTCGGAGTTCACTAGCTAATCGCATTCAGAAGTTCTCTTTGTAAAGAACGACGTAGGCAAGAAATCACCTGGCAAGAAACGGATCACTACTTTAAGTATATTGTGTGCTGCTTCATTCCAGCCGTGCGTACGCAGTATAGAGCGACTCGAGAGCTGACTACGGAATCCAAGAGATTCTCATGAAAGTGAAAGAAGAATCGGCGAATGAGAGGAAGAGCCGCGATCGGAGAGTGGTGCATAGTTCTTCGATTGACGCCAGACTTGATGGCACTCCTCAGTGCTCTCCAGAGCGCGCCACGTGTGAGAGAGCAGGTCGTAGGAACAGCGCCAAGGTTCTCTTCTTCTGTGCTCTGAATTTCTAATGAACAGCAAGAGAGAGATTGCTGGGAACTGCCCGAGCGCGAGCACGAGCAGAGCCCCAACCACGAGCCTCCACCCATCCTCGATCCATGAGGCGCAGATGATTCTCTAAGTCAAGCTGAATCGGAAGGTAGATCCGTGACTTCCGAGAAAATTGCTGATTCTCCGCCCTTTGTTCTTGGGCGTGGTGTAGGCACTCAGTGCGTTTAGTGTGTGGTTTAGGACGCCAGGTTTAGCGATCGTTAGAGTAGTATGGTTATGCCTCTGCTTGTTGGGGTTTAGAGCTCTACGAATGGTAGAATCGGCAGTGATTTTCCGGGTGCCCGACTTGCCTACGACTATTTCTTGTCGCATATCAGGCTCATGACTTTTAGTCAACAGTAGTCACTTTACGAACTTTTGTGCGAATGAGGGCATTTTTCAATTCTGTTTTGTGCATAATTTTATGTGGGATCGAGAAGGCTGTAGTCCGCGGACTCTGTTGGACTGTTGGTGATCGTTTGTCCATTATACATACAACGTTTGATCAGTTTATAGTTTGGAATGGTTTGTATAGGAGAGGAAATTGACGACATACATCCATGCGTGTATGATGGGCTAAGAGTTGCAATCCAAGAGCTGAAGGTCGAGTAAAGAAACTCTGCACGCAAACAGCAGGCGTCTTATTTTCTCCTCGCCATTCTGGGATGTCATTGGAATTTTGATTGGTCAATCCAGCGGATTACTTGTCGATGATTGAGATTGCTGCGTCTCGTTAGAGTTGAAATTCTAAGTTGTGTGAGACACTTCTGAAAATCTCCCTGAATTTTCTCTTCCATCTGGCTTTGAGACCTATCTAGACCTCCTTTGTCTGATCGCTGCTCTTTTCTGTAACTGGTGTACGTTCCCCTATGCTTGTTAGACAGATTCGGGTTATGTTTCGAAAGTGCTGACGTGCGGTGAATTCCACTTCAACAGGAGCCATGGATGCGCTGATCGCGATGGCGGACGCCGGGGCTAAAGAGAGCAGCCGACCTCCTTCGACTAGCCCCCTAGCAGAGCAGGAACAGATTGCGAGTGTGAGCATTCTGTTGCAGATTTTGATGCTGGGTTTGGCCTTTGTGCTGGGACATATTTTGCGTCGTCACAAATTTTACTACCTGCACGAAGCTAGCGCTTCTCTCCTCATTGGTTTGTGTTCAGCATGCGTGGCCTTTCTCGTCTCTTCTCGTCTCTGTTGCTGGATACTCTCCAAGGAAGACAGCTTTCCTTTTTAGTTTGTTTTGGTTCAGGACGTCATAAAATGGACGAGAACTTAGCTCCACCCCATTCGTAGTAGTTCTATATGACCTGCTTTCCTTTGTGTGTGAACCACTCCTGTCCAGGCTCTGCTCGATCAGGTTGGATTTAGAGCATTTAAGGGTTAGTTGACGCACATCACCGTTTGTTCAAGTAATTCTGATTTTTGGGCGGTTGTAGTGAGACTATGAGTTCGTTGTCAGAATCGTAAAAATTGCACAGAAAAGCTGCAGTTTTCGCTTTCACATTTTATCAAACGCGATGCTGAATATTTTGAGACTATGGGATTCTGTTGTAGATACTATAGGCTACTTGATTGTAGTACAATTGTGTCGTAGAGGGTTTGCAACACAGAGTCAAGTTAGAAGCGAGTGCAGCGATCACAGATACGTACACATAGTGGACGATGGAAGTCTGATTATGTCATCGTCTAGTTATCTTTGAACGGGGATGAAAGTGTATAGCTTGTTTTTGGAATCTACTTTGTCTTGACGTCACATTCAATGAGTGGTGAACTGTGCAGGAATCTTTGCTGGTGTTATCGCAAATATTTCAAACACAGAAGAGCGTTTCAGGTGCGAGTCTTAGAAGTCTTTTCCGTAGATATCGGCATAGCATTGATAACCATTCGAGTAATCTGTCCTTCCATCATTAACTGTATCTTCCTCAAATCCGGGCTTGAGGTTTATTCTCAAAATTTTTGCATCTCTTTGCAGGAAATGGTTCAACTTCCATGAGGAGTTTTTCTTTCTGTTTCTTCTGCCGCCAATCATCTTATATCCTTCTCATTCGTGTTTTACCAAATACATCAACACTTCCTGCTTTATGTGTTGGATATGTGCTTAATGCTTATCGACTACAACAATTCTTTGTATTTGATTGTCTATCCTTGACTCGATGCCTACTCAATCAGGGTTTAGTCTCCAGCCGGTGAGTGCCAAGCGTTACATTGTTCTGAATGATCGTACTTTTGTGAAAGAATGGTTTCAAGTTGTAAAGGTGCACTCTTGAAGCTGGGTGTATTCAGGAGATGATGTGATGTACTGATCGTGATGATGTACATTCGTGATGTAGAAACCCTTTTTTTCCAACTTTGGAGCAATCTGCACGTTTGCAGTCCTCGGCACATTCATCGCATCGGTCGTGACAGGAATATTGGTGTGCGTGTACATTACTTATCCTTAGTGGAAGAGGCGTGTACTACTTGTACTCTACGTTATTACTTGGGAGCGCGGAGAACTTTTTTCCAATTCATCTTAGTATTTGCGAAGTCGGGATATTTACGCTTAGGGAAGACATATTTAAGGCCATTAGATATATTCAAACGCGGTTCAGTCATATTTCAAAAGTATCTTGTAAAGCAGTGAGATCAGTGGCCAAGTTGTACTTTGTTTCACTAAGAACAACTCGCAAGGTTTGATGTTTTTGGTATCTACAGTATTTTTAGATTAGTACAAGGTCTTACCCGAATTTAGCAGCACATGTCATCTGACAGAGCATTTTTCGCAGGTATCTAGGAGGAGTTTTCTTCTTAATGTACAAACTAACATTCCAAGAAAGCTTGATTTTCGGTTCTCTCATCTCAGCGACAGATCCTGTAACAGTGTTGGGCATATTCCAGGTTTGATGTTCTTGAGCTCTGCAATTACTATGTTTTGGTGCAGTTTAGTGTAGTATGAGAGCAAATTATCTTGCAAACAAAAATGTAATCCTTCTTGGCGTGGTACTAGTTTTACTGGAGAGTACTCGCTTCTAGATTGCTAGGATGACTTGTTCTGATCCCTGAGTTGCCCGACTAACAGAATTTGCTGGCATGTAGGAGCTGGGATCTGATGTGAATCTTTATGCTCTAGTTTTCGGTGAATCTGTGTTAAATGATGCGGTACGCTTCAATAACGCTGTTAGATCTCGTGGAATTTTGCCTTTCAGCTTATGATTCTTTCCTTGTTTTTAATAATTCGTCTTTTTATCATAGATTCTTCTTGTCTGCGTTTGAAAATTTGTATAGTTTACGACGATGTGTACGAGCTTCATGTAGTATAGGTGCCTGGAGCTCACGGCATTACCTTCCATTACATCACAATGTCCTTCTTTAGTATACTAATGCGTGTTGCGGTGATTGTCTCATCTTCAGGTTGCAATATCTTTGTATCGGTAAGTGTCCCTGTGTCCCCCTGTGCTTATCTCCTTCTTCAAAGCCTTGAGTCTATACCATAGTTCTGATTTCTGTGCTGTGATAGCATATACACAAGTCATGTGTAAAGATCGGCCGTGTGTAGGTGAGAGCAGTATGATCTACGTCTGGGTTTTGGATTTTGTAGAGCAATGACCTAATTTGAATAATACTTGTTTCCAAGCCAACAGAAGCTTTATGTCCATCCGCAAACATCCTTCTGCACATCACGATATTATTGCTGGTGGTTGGAACTTCCTTGTAATCTTTGTGGGATCTATGTCGACAGGTATGTTATTGGAGTTTTTGATAAATCCTGTTTAATCCGCAGTAGAATTAGCGCTTAACATCATATGGGAGTCACCAGAAGGTTTCCTCGTCCAGTATGATGGCAGAATTGGAACAGTGGAGAAGACGCTCAATGCCACGGATATAAATACTTCTTGTGATTTACTAATAAAAAGACTGAAATATGATATGATAAAATGTTTCTAATAGCTAATCATCAATGTCTTTCATGTATGCAGGAGGTGCAGTGGCGCTAATTTGTGCATTAATATCCTAATTCTTTTAATAATTGTTGTTAGGAGTTCAATAGCTCCTTCCACGTCTATGAGGGTTTTTCTTATGATTTTTAAGCCGTTTGCAGTACACGATGTGATCTTCTGATATTTGGTTGTATCAACTTACAAAGAAGCCTAACAAAACTGAGACATCAAATTTTTTTTTACAAGAGTCATTTGTTTTTTTGTTCCGTCACTTCCTTAACTGGACAAACCTGTTCAAGTATGCCGGACTTGCTGTCACCAAGTAAGTTGGAGAAAAAAACCACTCACCACGTTCTGTTTCTTCATCATTACACGAATTCTCTTGAGAGGGCAAAAAGATTAAGCGTTTTTGCTGTTTCTACGTTTGTAAGACGAATCCTGAAAGGACTCTAGTTTGTTATTGCAGTTTGGCGAACCTGGAATGCTGCATGATAGTGCTCTTCCCGTATGCAGCGTAAGTAAATGTTGCCTTGTTAGGAAATCTTTATCATTGTTTAACATGTTTTTCCATTAGCTAAGCCTTTGCAAACATCATTAGATGAGATCAATGCTGATGGTTTGTGACTTTTAAAGCATTGATTTCGTCCAATGTCACCACAGGTACATGTTGGCAGAGGGTGTGGGTCTTTCTGGCATTGTCGCTATTCTATTTTGTGGAATTGTGAGTAACTTATTTCAGATATTTTCGAATTCTTTAAGCATGACAAGTATTTTTGCCCTTAAAATGATCAAGTTTGGCTTACCTGCTGCTGGTCTCGAAGCTGAATATTCTTTTTTGCAATCTGTGGCAGCTTATGAAACACTACACTTTTTCAAATCTTTCTGAGAGTGCTCAAACGTTCACCACGGGTTTCTTTCATTTAATTTCATCGCTTGCTGAAACCTTTGTGTAAGTTTATTGAAACATTCTCTTGGCCTCCTAAATGCTTCAGGAAATTCCAAGGCTTCTCATGCTCTCCTAATCCTAACTTGCTTAATTTGGTAATAAATCAGGTGAAATTCAAATGTTTCACATATATATACGTTTTTAGGATTTCCAGTTTAATAATGATTATTTTATGTTCGTTTGATCAACGATTGAGAAATATTGAAACGTGTTGTTACAATTGTTTATATTTAGGATATTCTCTTTGGAAAAGTGAGAGGCATGTAGTTAGATTGTAATTGAGAATACCCCTTATTGCTATTGCCTCTAAAACTTGAATGTTGCACTGAACATATCCCGTCGGAATTTTGTACCTTGATTGGAAAAATCTTGTAGTTATTATAAGGGCACCATGTTAGAGGGATGTCACTTTGCGGGTCTCCACACTGTCCTAAACCGTGTATGGAAAATGTTGTCTAGAAAATGCCTTCTATGAAATTTTCCGACTTTGACGACAGTTTGAAGATGTAGAATTAAAAATTGCATGAATACTAGTTTGTGATGTTCCGTCGTATGTGCGTTTTGTCAGTTTGTGAACTGTTTGGAAGATCTTACTTCTAACAGCTAAACATTGTGTTGTGGCAGATTCATATATATGGGTGTTGACATTGCAATCGAAAAGCACAGCTGGTCACATGTTGGTTTCATATTTTTCTCCGTCGTATCCTTTTCACATTAATATCTTATAATTACAAAGTCTTTCAAATTGATGTCTTTTCTTTCGCGTATTTTGAAAATTCTATACGAAGAATGTTCTCAGATTGTGGGAATTTCCTTAACTTTTTCAAATTCTTTAGATATTTATTCTAGTGGCAAGGTGAGTTCTGAACTGTCCTTGATCTTTTAGTCATTGGTCAACAGTGAACTTGTTGTCGTAAATTAAGCACCTGTGTCTATCATCCAGGTCTTGTGCTCAACCAGCAGAGTTTGGAACGTCGTATGTCAGTCAACATATAGCCACTTAGTCCCTGTTTTCGTTCTATGCCTTGTTCTTCTATTAATAGTGGTTTTTGAATTTGCCGTTGATTTAATCTGTATATCTTCCAGGGCAGCGAATGTTTTCCCATCGGCGTACATCGTGAACTACTTTCGGTCGCAAGAGAAGCAGATACCTGACACTCACCAAAAAGCTCTTTGGTTTGCTGGTAAGTCAATGATCAGGTTAGTTACTTTAAGTACCATCTTCCGTTTTCAAAGATCTAACAAGAATGTCCGTTTTCAACAGGTTTACGTGGTGCTATGGCATTTGCCCTAGCTTTACAGTCAGTGCATGACCTCCCTCCAGGTGTTGGCAGAGTTATAGTCACTACCACGACAGCTATTGTCGTACTTACAGTAAGTTGACGCATTTGTATTCTTCCTTTTTTGTAGCACTGAAGACTCCTACCTTGTGTAGATTGTATTAGAAGTTAAATGTTTCTGTTAGCCTGTTTCGTGCTAGTTACACAGTAAAGTAGGTTTGTTTCGTAAGAAGTTGAACAAAGGTATTACCGGTTGAGGTGTAAAATTAATGAGAATCAGTAATATCACGGGTCTAACATTATTCATATTTAGTATTTAGAACTAGTATACATCTTCGTCTCATCCTCAATTCTCACTTTTTTGTTTGTTTGAATGAGCAGAGAGAATACGATCTACTCCTGCTTAACGCGTGGATCTTGGTTGACACTAATTATGCAGGTTCTGGTCATTGGCGGTGCTACGTCGACGATGTTGGAAAAACTTGATGTTGTCGGAGACAACCATGATGGGCCACAAAATCATGGAGAAGTAAGTAAATTGTGTAAAACATGGCCTCCGAACTTATAATGATTATTTTATAATTATCTTAGTGAATTTTCATAAATGTCATCAACATTGATATCGATTATTGTAGGTGAAGGCAACTTTTGATTTGGTGTAACTTGCAAACTAATTTAACATGATGAAGGTATGTGTGGTAGGAAAGGACATGACTAATTTAATGTGTTGGTTGATTTAGACCTTAGAGGAAGAAAACGAACGGCTGCGTGGGCCGAGTGATGAGGATGATGGCAGTACAAGCCCTACTCATAACCTCAAAATGAAGCTTCGCCAATTTCGGAGAAAGTAAGATGATAGTAGGACATGTTATGTTACCTTCGTTTGCTGGGTTGTCTTGAATCTGACAATGAGCGACTGATTTTTTAAATAGATTTTGATGCAGAGATTAAGAGCTAATTTATTTGTATCTTTGGCAGCACCAATTTCTCAACCATCGACAAAAACTTCTTGAAACCTTTTTTTACGGTGGACAAGGAAGAAAAGATGCTGCCTACGGCTGTAGAGACGGCCAATGGTGAGGATATCATCTTGTTATTTCAGTTTACGGGTTTGTGTTTGAGAATATTCATTTTAAGCTGGATTAAAAGTACATGGATAGCGAGCAAAGTGCATTGTTTCAAACCCAGCTTCCAGTTAACGCTGTAAGATCATGTGATCAGTGTAGTAACTTTTGACATTGAATGTCTGCATCTAGACAGAAACAGCGATTAGTAGAGAGAAATATGACTTACCACCCGTTCTATCAACTCAGGTGTACACATTCAGCTGATGTATGTGGGGCACTCACGGTTTTAGTGCACATCAAGTTTTTAAAATTATGCTTACTTGACCATTCTGCTCAAATACTGTATATTTTACAGGTTCAACTCAAACCTCAAATGGTCAGCCTAGAACAACACATCATCCTAATACCTCGACAGATGATCGAGACAGAAGACAACCCAGTAGCAATGTCGGGGTACAGATTGATCCTAGGAGTGCGGAAAGATCCAGACAAACCTCTTCTAACGTTTCTCAATTTAAGGATAGTCGTCAAAGATCGCTTTCACCTCTTGAGAGAACCACCACAAGTCAAGAAGGAAGACCCCCTTACAAATCACGACCTTCCTTGTAGACGGAGCATAATCTATCTACATTAGGAATTGTGAAAGCATAGTAGCAGTCGATCAGGGTTTCAGGGTTATGTAGTTGGTATCATTGTTCATGGAATGTTGCAAATCATCTAGCCACGTGATGCGTCTCTCGACCATTGTCGTGTTCAGTCTATATGATTTATAAGCGATTCTCCATCTATTGTCAACAATCTCCTCATCAGTCCTCCAGCACTAGAATTTACAACGTTTGGTAGCCTAAAATTTTAATCAGTTCTACACCTTCGGATGACTAGATTTGCCCTGCATCCCTCAAAAGGCCATCGTGTATCCCCGAGTCCGAGAAGAGTTCGCCCATAGGACCCTGTTTGTTTATACCGACAATTCAGATTATGATTTTATGAACCCTGCTACGGTCGCATCGATTTAATTTCTCGGCAAGGCTGAGAAGGTGACTGGTAACTCGATTTGTTTCATCTGGAAAAGAAGTTCAAAAGTTGTACATCTGTAAAATATCGTGGTAACCATGTTATTCCATTGTCAACCTTTGTGCTAATGAATGCTTGAACACATCAAACGTTAGTGGCACTCAACATGTGATTGCACGACTTAATGTTGTCAACTACTTGTGGGCTAATTGCACCTCTTGACCGATTTTTAATGGTCATAGGAGCTCGGAAGACTCAGGTCAGCTCTTATACTGACCTGACTCTGGCAACCCCACCAAAAATGAAGACAGTTGATTGCACTAATGTAGATGTGCATTATGTAGTACTCCAGGATACCGATGAAAATATTTCGTTGCAACTCGTCATTTCATGCACGGGTGTTGTTTAAAAGAAAATTAGTGGTGTATCTCTATTTTAGAGCGGAGTACGTTGATGGAACAGGTTCTTAACCAGGAATCCACTATACAATTACGGAAACAACACTATTCTGAGCGATGTGCAGAGCGCAAGGACCTGTCTTGTCCGTAGAGTGCAGGATATTGCTTTGGTGCACTGTACACCATGGACTTATCTCCTGCTGTCGAGATGTGTAACAGTATGAGCAGAATATTTAGAACTTTCAATCTGGGCTGATAGTAGACGGATCAGGTAATTTGACAGTACCTGTAAAAACTGTCAAAAAGGCTATGTTAGAAGACGAAAGTATCTGTGATGGAGAGCCGTGTGGATCCAAAACCTGATTGGTTGGATTTAGATTTTTACTCCCTAAAAACTACTATTGTCAAAATCAGTGACCGCTAGCGATGGCGGTGGATGACATTTTCGTAGTATATTATGAGTGATTGCCCTCACCAGAATCAGGCTATTTGATGCTTGAAAAATGAAAACACTTTTTTTAAAGTGGCAAGGTAGCTTTTCTAAAGTGGCAATACTTCCGTTTCTGAACAGAATTTCCAGTATTACGACTTGGATCCAATGATGAGAATGGATTATAAAAAGCGAATGGTGAAGGTTAAATACAGGAAGCCGGAGATCGATATTGACCATATGATATCTTCCTTCAACGAGTCTCGGAAGCTCGAGAGAGGTCAAAGTGTAAAACAAACGTAGTGGAGACTTTCCCAAAAAGAAGGCTTTCCAGAAAGTCAAAACCCCAAATGAAGTAGATGCACTGTCAGCCAGCCTCTTGTACTTGAAATACTTAAGAACGCCGATGAGAATGTCCAGACGGTACAGTAGCAAGAAGGAGTGGGCATCTTGCAACGAGAACTTGCACAGAAAGACCTCCTAGCATAAAACCATATTTATCGTAAATCCATTGGTGGCCACCCAAATCCCTTGATTAAGATCATGACGCATCCTTAGAGACAAATGCACATGAAATCGAAGGGACCACCAGAGAACCCAGGACACGGTGTCGAAAGAGCCAAGAAGAATGCTGTCTCGATCCTCGAGGAAGAGTGACTTCAGTTCTCTGTGGGGAAAGAAGGAATCTCAAGGGCCATCCATCCGTCCGTCCGTCCGTCCATCCATCAACTGCACTTTTTGGTCGATCGTTGGCTCACCCGTGATCGCGCGCGAACTCGAACTCGGGACTCGCACAATGAAGCACGAAGCAGCAGCGAGAGCAGAGAGCATCAGGAGAGGCATATTCCGCGCAGTCCGACCAGTGGACACTTTGTCCGCGGGGATGAGAATGGCTCAGTCAGTCGGGCCCGGTCGGCTTAGGCTTAGGCTAGGCTAGGCTAGGCTAGGCTCGAAACGCGACAGATCGATTCAAAGATCGATCGATCTGTCGATTCCTTGATTGATGGCTAATGCTCGCATCGAGCCCAAATTAAGAAGCAGATTAAGGCCCGCGAGGCCAGGTGGGGCATCTGCCGAGGGAGATCGACTGATTTTATTCACACTAACCAACTAACCAGACCCTGCGTCTGATGAACTGATTGGCTGGAGGGCGGGCTGGCTCGCTCTAGTGTGCTGCTGCTGCCTGCCTGTATCTCCCTCGTCCTGTGTCCGTCCCTCCTTGAAGGTCCTTGCTTGCTTGCTTTCTTCGTCCCTCGCGTGCTCTAATTTTATTTTATTTGGTGTCGAGCGAAGGGGCCAGTGCTCGTACAGGAGCGGTGAGAAAGAGATCAAGAGCAGGAATGAGGAACGATGACGCGGATGGATGATGCGATGCGATGCGATGCGATGGGATGGGATGGGATGGGATGGGTTGGGATGGCAGGAATTGGGTCACAACAAGAACTGCATGAACGTGTGCGCAATGTTTGTTTGATGTTGCTTGCCGGGGCTTGCTTCTGATCCGATCCGTGATTTGTGATCCCGAGTCAGTGATCCGAGTGAGTGTCGCTGTGGCGAGTGAGTTAGTGACTAGTCGAGTGAGCGAGAGCGGGTCTCTTCTCTTCACTGCATCGCATTGTCCAACATTCGCCACGCTCCTTGCCCGCTTGCTGGCTTGCTGCTTGTGCCCGGCGAGCACAGCCAGCGTGCCTTCCCGTGACGATTTGACATACTGTTTGAGCAAGCGAGCGAGCAAACAAACGCCTTCTCTTTTCTCTGCATCCCTCGCGTCGTGGCAGCCATTTACTCCGGGCCTAGGTCTTTCGCGCACTCTTTCCAATTCCTGTCCGACTTGACTGCGGGCATCTGTCGATGTTTTTGCCTCAGTCTGGAGCGGAGAATCGATCAGAGGGTTTGGTTCGGCGCCCTTCTTCCGCGACCTCCACTGTGCTCTGGAGACCGGAAGCGTCGAGTACTTTGCTGAACGAGGATGTACAAGGCAGGGATCCACTGTAGGTTGGCCTCCTCGGACGCCTGACATGTGCAAGTTCCAGAAGCAATCTGGACTCGTAGTGAAGTGACATGGAGGAGCCCGGGAATGTGGTTGATTACGAGGCTGACTATGGCCTTCGCTGGCCTGGGACTTAATTATAGAGCAATTCGATTGGCCATTTGAGCTGGTGATTGTGGATGAGCGAGCTTCTGATTGAGGAGCACGAGCCATCTCGGCTGGCTCTGGTTGCTCTTGTAGAATTCAAGAGCCTTAGCTGCGGATGTGTCCGACTGCAGGCTGCTGCTTCGTGATATTCTCAGATTTTTGAAAGATCCAGTTGGAAAGAGAACAAGGCTGAAGTAGACGGAGTTACTTTTGGACCAAGTAAGCCGCTGTCTCCAAGACGAGCAAAAATAACTCATGAATTCGTCACAGACGACGAGGTCTGCTCACATATGGAGAACAAGGTTCATTAGTGTCTAGCCTCCATTCAGTTCGTGATAAAAATGTTTTCATCTAAGGTTACCAAGCTGAACTCTAGGTTTCGGGTCACTGGATAGGACGCCAGTATAAGGATGAGAACCGAAACGCGATTGCGACTGCGTGGTGGCTAAGAGAATGCTTACGCCAGATGTTCGCAATGTGCGTATTTGTGAAACATCCTACGTGAACGTCAATTTGGTGGGGAAGAAGATCCAAGGAACTAGAATCAAGCTCCGTCTGAAGTCACGAAATGCAGGATCTCGTAGCGTCAGTAGGAAGTATTTCAGTCGATTTGTACAGCTCATCATGGATACAAACGGGATCTCGCGCTCTTAGCCCCTGATTTCGAGGGGCAGATATGGAGGATATATATAAAGTAGGTGAGAAATGGCTGAAAACAGCAGTGGATACAACTTCGACGATTGCCTCTACAACCACTGCAATCGTAGCGACATCTTCTGCAAGAGCTTTGGGAATCATTGGCTCAACTTCCGGACGGCCGGAGGTATATTGCCCTTCAATGTCTGTCTGAGTACTCTGAAATTTGCATTGCTTTGAAAACATCTTTTTTTTTACTAATCCTCTTCCGTGATGCCAGCCAAGTCTGCGAACGTTAAGTGTTCAGTACATCTGTCAGCCAAAATACTCTTTCTTCTAGTCTGTTTTTTGAGAAGCGAATTCCAACAGGGGCTTACAAATTTCCCCTAATATGATCCCTACTCAGATCTGCTCCTCACCATGCCATTCTCCAGTACACCGTGACTTGTTTTGACATGTTAATCAACTTGTCACGTTTTGGCTTCAATTGCCGGAAGGTTTGGAAACCAGAATTCGCAAATGCAGAAGGGATACGGTACTCTGGCTCGTCGCTGATACTGCTTCTTTTGCTGATTCGGAGATGGGATCAAGACGCCTCTAAATATCTAAAGAAGAATCGTTGGTTCAAGAGATTCTGGAAGCTTCGATACTCCCGAATTGATTGTTACATGCATTTACTTGTTTCAGGTTCCAGCTCGAGCTGCAGCAGCAGCTGCTGTTGCTCGAAAAATTGCTGCCCTTCCTCCTCATGAACGACTTTCTCTGCCCTCTACGTCTGATGGAACTACGTCTGTCTACGGAGGCAGAAGGCCCCGGGGAGAACCTGCTGATGAGTTGGAAGAGAATTTTTATGAGGAGGTATCGGCTTGCCTCAGTTGTTCTCTTTAACCTTGTATTTCTATCTAGACAGCAATGTCCCCTGTAATAAGCAAAGAGTGATGAAAGTCCACACGCAGAGTTCAGACTACGTCATCCGGATGGTTTTAGAGAATTGGTCTTCTTGTAGAGCTTTCCACTTTCCATGGTTCCTGTTATATTTCAATTTTTGTTCTTTTGGAGACGTAGAGGATTGTACAAATGTGATGGCGTGATTTAGATGTCTTTTTTAAGGCAAGAGGTACCTTGGGTGTGTGCTATTTTCTCAAGTGACGACTTGTTTATTGCAGTTTGAAGGTTGTTAATTAAAGAATCATTCAAGAATACACGTTATAACAGAGCTTCGTCCGTGTTGCTGTTACTGACAGGGTTTTGATCCTGTAAGATTTCTGCTCGAGCATCTTCCTGAGGAGTCTAGTCAAATGACACAGCAATACTTCGAATCCAAGGTACACTCGGTGAACTCGTGTTTTAGAAAATGCCTATGTCTATTGTAAGCAAGACAGTGGGCTGCATCTGAACACTGGTGCGACAATACACACGGGAGGACTTCGGGGAAGGTATGTCTATTTGTGGAGTGTAGCGTGATGTGCTACATGACTAAATTGTTCTTTCTTTGTACTGCTTACAGGTTGGAGGAAGGTTGCTGCAACTTGACGTTGTTACGGAGAAGTTATCCAAGCAAGTGATGGAAAATCATGAAGAGATGGGTAAGCGTAGTTTAAGGAGCTTAACTGGATGCCCATTGACTGAAACTAATAGCGCAAAGCAATGGCCCTCTTATTCCTAGGCAGCTTGTTGTAGCGGGGTCGTACTTACGACTCCTTATCTACTGTATCAACTGTCTGCCTTGTTTATTGAGGATGGGAGCTTTGTTTCCAGTTTGTTTGCATTTGTATCTCGTTCAGCTGTCAGTACTTCGTCAAGAGACGGTGTATCCATGTCTCAGTGTGTGTACCGTCTTGTCTGAAGACTTCATTCTAGGCGGAGTTTCGTGTCTTGCATGTTTTAAAAGAATAAGCAAGGGAAGTGATCAAATATATGGACAAACTCATGAATGCTTATCCTTTCGATGACAGGCTTGTCCGTTTTTCTAACTCGTGGTACCTGTTATTGATATGAAATGTCTATTGAGTTAAGAGTTTTTAATTTGGTCCTCGCCTTTGCAGTGCAAGGGATGCAGCTTGTTACAGAACTTGACAGAGATTTACAGCTCACTAGTATCATCTGTAAGGTAATTCCCATCCAGTAATAGTATCTGTACACCATGTTTTGTGGAGCCAAAGAGCACCTTCTGTAGAACAACAACGTTTTATAAGCGGACTATAAGGTAACATGCATCTAGACCGATAATCTAGACGCTTATGATATGTATGTAGTCAATATATATGTTGATTTTTTACCATATGAGATCTACCCTTCCTGCGTAGGTTTTAAAACACATTGATTCCAGTTCAAATTTGTGTATCGTGTTCGTTCAGTTATTGGCTTCAATGAACGTGTGACTGTGACAGAGAAGATGATCTCATTTTCGTTCCTTATGTAGTTGCCCGGCTTTACAGGAGCCTAACTATTTGAATTTGGAAAATGTCAAAGAATGGGCGCAGATTTCTGTCCATGGCAGCGCAGGAGGTTTCTCAGGACCTTTTGGTCGCGGCTAATGTTAGGAAAAAACAAGTTCTATTGGTACGTTGTATTAATCGTTTCATGTGACCTTATCCGATTCAAAGATATTCTCAGTTGTACATAACGAACTTGTGTTCATTTCTACACCAAGTATCATCCATAACCAACGTTTTGAAAACTGAAGTTTTGGTGATCACATGCTTTGGAAGGTAACTTCGGTTGTTTGCCCTTCTAGGACCTTCTTCCGGTCTTAGAGCGGATACAGTTAGCTATGGAGACAAAATCCCAATTGGACAGCGCCGTTGATGAAGGGGATTTTGCGAAGGTCAGATTTGTATGTTATAATTTGCGTTGTCTATTGGACAGAAAGTTGTTTGATACTTTGTTCCGAGGTCTGTTTTTACTTTTAGGCGATGTTGCATTGTTCTTCGTAAGATTTCAAAACGATGTCTTTATTCCTGAAGATAATATTTTTGTCACCGAAATGATTCAATCTACGAGCGGACTTGGTCTTGTTCACCGTCGGGTCTTGAGTTTAGTTCGTAAGAAACTCAGCTAGACGCGGTCTACAACCATTCTTGGTTTTGGAAGAGTATCGTCAAAGTCATTAACTGTTGATGAGCAGGAAGTTGTTGAGCACACGAGAGCTTTAGATTTATCGGCAAGCCTTCTTCTTGACCTGCTGGACAGGTTGTTACGAGTCTGGCACGCAGTTACATATCAGTTATCTAATATACTTCAAGTGTCGATAACAGGCGTTGCAACTATGTTCAGAGTGTTTGCTGCTTCTAGAGGACTGCTCAACTTTGAAGGCCGTGGAGGATGTGAATAACAGCATTGAGGTGTGACTCTACATCACAGTGAGACTAAAATCACGCTAGTGTGTCCAAAGAGCTGTTTACTTATCTACTTTGAACTAGTTCATAGAAGAACGGAGGCGTTTACAAATACTGGTTTTTTCCTATTTCTTGTTTCTATCCAACAATCGGAATATTGGGAATTGGTTGACCGATTGTTACCTTTGACCTTCGTAACTGATAACAAGCTGCCGAAGTTTGTTCTTCTACTGAGGATAGCGTTGATATTGCTGAACCGACAGTTTCACTAGTTGGAAGGGATAGAGCTGGCTGTTATCGATGAGAATTGATTCTCCTAGGATTCTAGTTTTAGGAAACATGATCGACTATGACTACGCTACTGTTACAAAATTCTCGTGTTTTCTTTTCTTTCAGGAATGGCTTCACAGAACAGTAGACAAAGTGGATAAAGTCCTTCTTGGGCTCTGCAGCAAGTTCGAGGCAGATAAATACGCAACAGTATGTAAAGATGTCACTGCCATGCATTTTTGAGGAAGTAATTAGGGCTACTTACGCAGGTTCAGAGGTGTTTAAATCTCTGCAGGTTATGTTGTCTACAGATGTTGTTTCTTTGACAATCGGGTAAAAAGGTTAATCGTGATCTTGATATTGGGCATTGTTTACTGAACTTCAAAAGTATCCTCCGGACAATGCCTTGTCTCGCTGCAGGTGGTTCAGGCTTACATCGTACTAGATGACATCACGGGACTTGCGGAGAAGGCGCAGACATACTATGCGCAAATTCTTGTGTCTGAAACACATTCTGTTATCAGAAACTTGGTGTTTGAGGTTAGCTATCCTTTACCTTCTGGAGATCCAAAATATCAAACAGTGAAATGCTCTTGATGATGATATGCTTAAGATTTTGCTGACAATTTATTACCTTAATGCTTGTTGCTTTCACCGAATTTGGTGTAATCAATTTCTGTAACTCACTGATTCCTACATCCCACATAATGTATATCTGGTATAGTGGAAAGTATTCATGTAAAGGAGGTTGCTCTTAAGCATATTAAAAAGCCACATGTGGATTTTGATGGAGTTGTTTGATAATCGGTGTGTAAGCTTTAGCACCGTACGTTTAGGTCCCGAGATTGCCGGCCTCGTCTTGAGTTCAGACCATAAGTTGAAATCGTGACTGACTTGTAACCTCTTTGAATCATAGTTGGTGGCCTTCCATTTATCCCACGATGTTTTGTCCCCCTCCTTTCACATTTATTTTTGAAAGCCATGGTAGCTCATTGACGTATATTTTCATGAGTGTTCAGAGTTTCCTTCATTCTGGAAGGGAACTTTTGCACAGACTGGTGCCTTGTCTCCGTGTATCACGTACAACTCAATGGACAGCTCAACACTGTTGTGTCTTCACATTCCGTTTTGAATCGTGTCCCTCAGTTTAGTTCTCGCAACGGCTCTTCAGCTATATACGCAGTAAGAAGGCTGTACTATAAAGGTCCGATCTTCTGACCGTATATATGGCTCATGGGGTAAATCTATAGCCTTGTGAAACTTAGAGGGGTGTTTGATACTTGCTGTATTGCCTTCCGAACACGCGAAGTCGATATATCGATAATGGCCACTCGTACTTTGTCTCGAATGTCCTTCGAACATTGAACCAGCTATTGGTCCTCTTATTACAGTCGCTTCTTCTGTATGTAAGTCATAGTTTGTCGGTTTAGCCACTCAAATGAATCTAAGGAAAACACTATTGAAATTAGCTTAGCAGAAATTATTTGTAAGCCTTTAAGTTGTAACGTTGCCATAACTCAGACGATTTTTTGACTCTATTTTTTTTTTCTCCTTTTGAAGAACCTTGAATTTACTTTACGACGTTTTTTCTACTTGCGTCAGTACATAAGATCTTATGCTCTTGTTTTCATCTTTGTATATGTGCATCTGAGAACGTCGTGATTTTCCACATGGTGATTCGTATTAAGACTGTATAGTGAAACATCTGACTGTGGAAACAGCATATCGTTTCTCTGTGTTTCAATGATTTGAAGAAAGTTTTGAAGCGAAGGGAATTGGAAATGTGAATAACTGGAGTAACAAAGGGCAGCAGATCGCATATGAGATTTTATTGCTGCTAGATCTACGAAGGAGGATGCGCTCTTTTTCCGTCTCAGGTGTATTGGGGATAGCTTTGGAAACAATCTCCTCCGGCGAAAACATTGTAGGAACAGGGACTTGTTAAAGCAATTAGTCATATTTAGTAGTACTTGAGGAACCTTTCTAATATTCAGAGTACTTCGTATGTCCAGTTTCTACGCGAACACATGTTTATTAACATCTTAGTATCTTGACGTCGGCGTGACTTGTGGATAGATGTATCTCAATCGACTGGACTAACATACTTGGGCATCACAAAATGGTCATTCAGAGGGCCCGCAAGCATCTGTTTGCCGAGGATTAAAAATTTTATATAGCAGATGGGAAGCTCGGTAGATCAAATTCCATTGATGTAAGATTAATATAAGTCGCATATCAAATGACTCCAGGATTATAATCGTGAGTTGGCTTCCATGCCCTTGTTCGTAATTCGTTCAATTTTATAAGCCCATATTACCCTTTCATTCAGTTGATTCGCAAATACGATCTCCGCTTTATTTTCATTATGGGACCTTATTATATTGAACTCCATATAGTTCATTCGCGGACATTCAGTTCGTCTTAACCTAAAATAGATTGCAGTCTGCATGTCAAAGGTGGATTCACCTCTTGCCACCTCATGATTTTCGTTGTCATGCAACGATCTCATTTGATTCTTTTTACGACTTTTTATCTCCATAGCACTCTACTACAAACCCAGTCGTTGGGGGGATTCATACTTTTCTTGACTCGTCGACCTCTAGATTGCAAACATCCAGCCAGATACTATCATGAGTGACTGAACTAAAAGACCGTTTAAATTTCGTACGTAGCAGTCATCACACCCTCACTTAGCAGTCGTCCTACCCTTAATAAGCTACATTTGCGAGGGCGGCGTTTCAGGCATGTGCATATAAGCTGATAAAGTGCACTAATCAAACCCTCTCCTTTTCTTGCAGGGTAATGGAGAGTAGGGGGAGTTGGGGCAGTCCATCAATCAAGTCATTCTGACAACATGATTGGTGTGTCTCACAGCTCTCGGTAGGGTTTAGAACCAAATAGTGTAGAACTGCGTTAAAATCTGCATGGTTCATCGTTGGTGTTGTCGGGTTGTTTATCTTGTGCACTCTCCTCAGGCCTGCTCGATCAGGAACTTCAGTAATTTTAGTGTTTATGTCCATGCCAAAACCCTAACTATTAGTAACATTAACATCCTGTTTTCTGTAACTGTACATTGTCCTACTTAGTTAACCTATACAGGGCGGCGTTGGTACATCAGCTCTGTTTATCTTGAGATCTTGCCGTTCATAAATATTTGCTGAAGTGTATTAAACGGACAGAGTAGGCCAAGATGAGTGATCAAAGAACAAAATCAACGATGTTCGCTTGAGTTTAGGTCGCCTAAGTTTCAAAGTCTGATGGATCTACTCTTACAGCATGGAAAGTTCATGTCGATGACTAATGTAATGTACTACTCAATAAACAAGATGACATATAATAATTTTTTAGCATTGACGCATGACCGTATTCTTTGACTTTGCTTCTTACTTTGACTCTTGCATCTCCGTCCTCTCTAACCTTCCAATATATTAATCATGTGATGATATTCATTCTAGTTCTTTCACGTAATATGTCACTAATATTAATATTTCTATCTTAAACTATCACATGCTTGAAACATGATCAGTTTCTGGCCTAGATATTTCTTGCGAATGATTGTTTCTAGATTATTGTACCCCCAAAATTTGGATTTCTGTTCAGCAGAAGGAAAACATTCCAAACTGATTGGTGGTCTCTTGGCTGTTTGTGCATACACAGGGACAAGATCCTCAGGTCATTCTGCAGAAAAGCAGGTTGTTGACAGCACCCTGTTGAAGTTTTGGCCTCATAAACGCTTGCAGTAAGGAAGCATGTTACTACAATAGAAATTTGGACCAGCCAGTTTATTCTTATCAGCTCTCGTCGTATGAAAGGTTAATTTAGAAGTCATGCTTTGTTTTCACATTTGGCCTGATGATAATTGGCCTGCTTTCCACCTGCAGAGTGCCATATAATGATTTGTGCGCGCAGCTTACCGAATCAAAATTCAAAGAATGTCTGCACAAATCTCTTGAAGTTCTTTTTGATCTAATGTCCTCTTACCATCAAATGATGACTTGGCTTCCAAAAGTGGTAAGAGATGGCACCTGTTCTAAAGAAGTGTGGATAGCGGAGGCTGTGTCAAAGTTTTGTAGCCAATTATAGTCTGCTGGTGCAGTCTGTCCAACATGAGGAAGATTACGGGAGGTGTGTTCGTTTTGAATGACTGTAGACACTTCATATAAGCTTCTTTCGAGTCAAATCACCAGATGGTGTCCATTTGCTTATTTTTGTTAGTTTTGGTTCGGCGTCATTTCAGTATTATAAAGAGCGCATAAGATATGACACCTAACAGGTTTGGACATTTACAGTGAAACCTTGTATTCGGTGTTTGTCAAATTTTTTATCTAGAACCAATTAGTACATGTAATTTGTCTTTGAAGTTCATTCTCATGTGAAGCTTGCTCTTCTCAGCTTCTGATGCACTGTCTTCCATGTCTGTAATATCACAGACGTTAGAGAAAACTGCAGCTAAAAGTGAGATTACATCTACTCCACTTGCTAATGGGAGGCATCGACGCTCAGGGAGTTATGGTGACCTGCTTATAGCTGGAGAAGGTAGTCGCCATGCTCGGACCGGTTCTTTGTCCTCATCAGAACTAGCTCGATTTTCCAGTTCATCTCAGCATGGCAGTCCAAGGTTTGCAAATTTGAAACCTGGCAAACATGACATTGTCAGTAGCAATGGATCCTCGATTTCAGAGGATGACTTCAGAGGTGCATTAGATGACAGTGAACACGGCCGAACGATTCGAGTAAGAGAGGCTGTGCTCAGCATTGGAAGAGGTTTAGAAAAGGGTCGGAAAACCGTTTGGGAACTCTCTGCTCGCCGAGTGGCAGTTTTATTATCTTGTGATGCTCTATGTGCAACGAGTCCGCACCATTTTTTGCAAAGCCTTGATTGGGTGAACAAGTTTATTTTGGCGGGAGAAGCTTTTTGTGGTGCAGAAGCAATGTCATTGAGGGCAAAGCTTGTGAAGCAGAGTGAGAAGTACTATTGGTCATTTCACCGGCAAAATCTGGAAGTGAGTGCTCAAATATCTAACAATTGATGTTGACCTACCTTGCCGATGATTGAAAACAGCTTTGTGGCCAAGCCTAAAAGATTGTCTGTCCGTTTGCCTAGATGAATCTGAAAAATTGCTAAGTAATATCAAAAGAGTGAGCAAATTTCAGGCGTATATAAGCCAATTGATTGGAATCACCCACGCCTCGAGGAGATCCTTGTGGCTTGTAATTTGATATTGATAGGCCTGTTCACTTTACAAAGGAACCTAGAGAATTTCTCATTTTTGTACTTCTCTATACTTTGTAGTACAACTTGGAGTTTCCTTTGGGCTTTTAACAGTGTATGCACTTCTTTCAGAGATATGAAGGTATTAGTTTTGTTTGCTGCCGTAGTCAACAAATGTTTTCAAGCTTACAGTATGAGGTCCTTTCAATTGGATTTGTTTACTCTTGCGGTAGTAGATTGAGTTGTCTGTGTTCAGTTTGCTCTTGTTGCGAAAATATCATAAGTTTTCTACTTTTCATTCATTAGGAATAGTAAATGACTCAAATGTCATTTGTCAATGGTTGTCGTAGATCACGATTAGAATTTTTCAGGATTTCCTTTCCTCGTTCAGATATAATTTGGTATATTTTCCATTTTTGAAAATAAAATTGTTTGATTTCACATCAGGGTTTGAATGGTGCTACTATGAATCCTGGAAAACGGAGACTATAACTGTACCTCAACTGTTGATCATTGTTCAGTTTTAAATTCTCCTGTTTGATATTGGTCTACTTTGAACATGTTATGGATTAACGCACGGAGAGTTCTTACGATATAACATGACATCAGAGTACCATCTTCAGAGAGCTTAATCTGATGAAGATCAGGTTTGTCTTAAATACAGTACTGTACCGTATCAGAAGAATATATTTCATCCTTGACAAGGAGTGTGCATTTTTTTTCAGGTGCTTCGGATGATCTTGGAGAAGGAATTGTGGCAACAACTGTCTCCAGCAGCTTTGAAGACACTGAATTTTCATGCAGGCATTGTAAATGGAGCACCTGTAGCCAAAACATCTCAAGATGGCGTGGAAGATGTGGGTGGAAGCTCTCGACCTGGGCAAGTGGAAAATGCTCTCTTGAGAACTAGGGAAAATGTTTCTTCAAGAGCAGGTTTTGAAGATTGGTTGGAGAAGGGAAATCCTTTTAGTGATAGGAAATCACAGAAAGTTATAGTGTTAACAGCAGGAGAAGGAAAGACTCCAGGAAAGCTGGAAAACGGTAATACTAGTAGTCAGTTAGAATCCGTTAATTCAAACGGTGGTTCTAAAAAGGGAAGTGGTGAAGATGAGGAAGATGAAAATGAGGATCTTCTTGCAGATTTCATCGATGAGGATAGTCAACTGCCAGGTCGGCGGCTTTCAGAACAGAGAAGAAGACCTACCAAGAATGCTCAATTACAAGACAATGAGGGAACCTTGATACTCACGAGTTCAGCTGTCAGCCTTCTTAGGTGTGTCATAACAAAGATGCAATATTTCCTTCAAAATATTTTGAAATAGAGGAGAAGTGTCATCCTAGCTTTAGGCCTTAATGCTGAGTAATGTAATTCTCCCAGTGTAACTAGTCATAAGTTCTTATGACTATTCTTATGACTTGTTGTGATTTGTCCTGTTGTGATTTTTCTATTCTGAAAATTTAGAAATTTCACTTCTTCTTGACTCACGTAAGTAATCTGTAACTATGCAGGTACATGGACAAGTATGTGAAACTTATGCAAATCTTGCAGCCAATTGTTTCAGAGGTTTTCAGGGTATGCTTTTAAACCTCAAATCTTTACCTTAAGATGTGGTTACAAGTAGGAGTTATGCTGATGTCAAAGTTTTCTCATGTTTTACGAATGTTTTCACTGATTTTCACTGTGGTTCAATCGCAGGGCTTGTGTCAGCTGTTTGAGTTATATTTTTTTACAATATTCAAAGTTTTTGGTCAACGGGATCATCTTTCGTTTTCCCTTAGAGCTACTCTGGTTAGAATTTCTCAAGGTTTGGAAGAGCAACGTATAAAGCTCCCCATGTCTTCGTCACCCAGTGTGACTTCACCATCTATCGTATCGAATCCTATTGGAAGTCTTCACTTGCCCTCAGAACCATCTCCATCTTCTATGGGGCATGGAGGTCCAGCAATTCCGATGTCGCCTAGCAACTTACACGCTTTAAAGGTGCGCTATACTCTGGATAAATGAGCACTCAATAAGTATGTGTGCATTATAATCAGGAGAATTGGTTTGTTTGAATTCTAGAAGAGTTTCTTAAGGGCATCATCAATTTCTTCCCTTAAAGGGCTATTTTGACCTGACTAATCTTTTTCTCGCATCTGTCAGGAGCGTTCAGTGGCCGTAGAGTCCCTGCTTTGTTTATCACAGATATTGAACAAATCATATCTGCATTTCAAAGCTGTACTTCCGCAGGACACCCAGATATACATGGACACGTTCTTCACTCAAACGGTGCGCAAGCATTTTATTCAACTTCAAAAGTTGCGGGAGATATCTACTCTAGGTTATCGACGTAACGGGGCGATGATTTCTAAAATGGATCTGAATCTAATGATTTATATTGGTAACAGGTGGAGTTAGTACCTGAATTGAGAGAGCATATTTACAGGGTTGTTGCAAGGCTGCTTCTAAACATCGGAGGGTAAGTGAAATTTTGCAACCATTCCTTTTTAATATTCTGTTATGCAGACTCTGTGTCTTTTGTACTACTGTGCTTCAAATTGTATCTCCTCAGTCAACAAATAAATAAGAGATTGTTAAAGATATATGTGTGGTTGAAACTTGGTTTGAAAAGAAGTTGGGTGAGATTATGTTCAGCTTACTTGTGAAGACCATTTTATTGTTTATAGGGAATTAATCTTTTACCGGGAGTAGTATATTAGACACAAACCTTTTCATTGTTTTCACAATGAAATTAGTTGACATTGAGGAGTCATGTGTGTTACTTGATACTCTTCCGTGGGGCGTCTCGTTTGTGGTGGTTTTTGTACAATCGATTATCGGAATTATTCATTTATTTTAAACGGCACATTTTTTATCTGAGTTGTTTAGAATTGTGTCGAAAGTCCTCATGCAGTTTCTTGGAATGCGCAGATATATTGATAGGATCTCCAATGTCAGATGGGAACTCAAGGAGTTGGGCATGGAACACAACGGGTAAGTTCATATTCTCCTAAAAGGACCATGAACTATGAATTTAGTGGTAAGATCTTCCTATTGTAAAGCCTATGAAAGGCAATCAGCATAAAGTATCGTAGGTTGAATTTTATTGTCATACAAGTTGTGTTCATTTTCCAGTATCAAGAGCAGTTTTGGATCTAATATCACATCCAAAAATATATATTAATTTTTACTTTAGAATTGCAAGTGTCTACTCCATCTCATGAAGCAGAATATCAAAGTTGTGAACCATGGATTTGAGCGACCAGTTCCTCTGTACTTCAATGTAGAAGAACTGCACACTGTTTCTCCCTATATCTGGACAAATGAACAGAACTTATTGGTAGTTAACTTTCAGAGATATATTGGAAAATCTGGTATTAATATTTCTAAATGTACTTTTCTGTTTCCAGCTGGGTATGTGTGGGTAGCTCATGAAATGTGCCTCCTGTAATCTACTTCATCGTTATAGACTCTCTGTTTCTATGTGTCGACATTATGAAACAGATGTGGGTACGATACGATGTTTAGTTTAGGCACCTATACTGAGATGTAAATTTTGCAGATTTATGAAAAGTCTCGATAGAAAATTCAGTTTTACACATCTTACATCAACTTAGTGTGTGATCTTGGTACGAATGCAGTTACATAGATTTGCTACTGGGTGAATACAAGCAGTATTCAAACAAGCTAGCACAAGGAGGTGTGCCGAAAGAGGTCATATCTTTTTTCCACCATTATAACTCATTTCTTGTACGACATGCACTTTATCTTTTAGTTGTAAGTAGTATATGGAGTGTCTATGACACTGTTCTTCGAAATTTATAGTACATACCGATTAAAGAAGAGAGTAGAATCTGAAGCATGCATCTAGGTAGTGAAAGTTCGTTTCCTTTAATTAGTTACACCAACATGGGATCTAAGATAATTAATGCACTTCAGTGCAAGTATTCAGTTGAGTAGCTAAAAATGCGAAGAGTTGAAGGTGGTTTATTGTTCATGGACTAGGTTCGAGAGGCAATGCTGGAGTGTGGTGTTGATGTTCTAGCAGAAACAATACTAGAAGGAATCTCCCGAGTGAAAAGGTGCAATAACGAGGGACGTGCCTTGATGTCTTTGGATCTTCAGGTTTGCTTCTTTGCCGTTTTGAATACTTTAATATCACCAACCTGTTGCTTCTAGGTTATGTACGAATTGGCATATTGTGGAACTTAATAAAGAGTTGAGTTCAATATATTTCCGCTCCCGCAGGTGTTAATCAATGGATTACGGCACTTAGCTTCCCCAAAGCTGAAGTCAAATCTCCTAATAGTCGAGACCTATATTAAGGTAAGTCATTTACCATTAAATCATACACCAGAAACAAATGGTCAAGTGCAGTAGCTTCTGAGTATCTCTTTGTTGTCCTTTATCTGGATTTATTTGGTACAAATATGTTTCACTTTCTGACGTTCAATTATCTTGGTCTCAGGCTTTCTATCTTCCTGAGACGGAGTACTTTCATTGGATACGAGCACATCCTGTAAGTCCTTTTACTCACACCATCTACTTAATACAGGTGCTGCAATTTTCGCTGAGTGAGTGAACTGTGAGGCAAGATTGTGATGACCTCTTGTGCATGAATGCAGGAGTACACGAAGGCACAAGTAGTAGGACTGATCAATCTCGTAGCCTCCACATACAACTGGAAAAGAAAGACCAGAATGGATTTGTTGGAGAAGATAGAGACAGGCGATCTCTGATGTTTTCTTTGGGGCAAAATTGATTCTCTTGTTTATTAGTGATAAAATCTATTCTTTGCTGCTTCGGTGGAAATTTGTGTAGTATCTGAAGCACCCCATGTTAGAAAAACTAGGAAGAAGAGCTCATCCTCACATTTATGAGGGTTGCCCCACTACTGCATTTCTGGGCATTCAATAGGTCGGTTAAATCAAGAGCTGGCGTTCTTCATGGAAGTGTTCACTTCTCAAACGCGATGTGAAGATCAGAGAGTTGGCTTCAAAATGGTGCTTTTATCGTTGTTGTCTCGTGTAGTCGATCAACAGCGTCAGTGTTCTTCCCGTCCCGACCCGTCTCGTCCAGGATCGAAGTCCAACATGAGCTCTTAAGACAGCCTGACTCAGTCCTGCCCACCTTCACGTTTTTAAGATGTGCATATTTTAGGGTTCCTGCATCTGCGGCGTACCCTACTTAGAGAAGACCAAATTATATTTTGTAATCTTGGACGCATAGATGTGTAACATAAGAGAGGTTGATAACTTTAGCAAACAAAGATTTGTGAGATTGATCATGTTGTCCATCCCTGGAATCGCTACGTCCTGGATTTATTCAAAACTGTCCATCTCAAGATTTTGAGTTGAGAATTCTAAATGTGCATGATTCTCATTCGGTAGTAATCGCCTTGTCAGACTACGCTATTACTTGTCCATATCACATCCACACCTGTCTTGCCTTACTATTTGCTGGGTTTCGTTCAGCGCTGTCTCTGCCCTCACATGTCCGATGCCTTTGTCACCGCTCTTTCACCTGCAAGGTATAATTTAGGATTGGTTGTGTCAGATCGAGACATGGTTGTATGACTTCCCCACACTATGTACAGTGCCTGTTGGGGCAATTACAGTATCCGGTATTATCACGTAAACCCTCTTCAGATTTAATAAGTTTCCTGACTTGAGCTCCAACTTGCTGGGGTAGTTGATCTGTGGTGCAATCCGATGTATTTGAATGACTTCAATTTTGCACGATATGCCCTCCTTGTCTCCTCTCTACTCTCTACCCTCTACCCTCTCCCGCCTTAATGTCGATAATATTTCTACAGCTCACGCTGTAGACTGTCTCGTATACACAAATAGGAATGAGAATGAGTTGATTGCTAGATCAACTCATTGAATCGTTAACGACGAACCATTAAGAACCTTTAAACTTGGTTGCCAATTGTTTAAAATAACCAACATTGCACAAGGTCATTGTTTCCAGTTTTCTTTCGTCTGTGTAGAACGTAAATTGCAGATTTGCTAGACGTTCGGGTCTCAGCAGATTTTCTACCCTGAGGCTTTCACCGGAGCGGGATAGGGAGTTATAACGTCGTTCATCTCGGGGCACTGTTCTCACTACCTTTCGCACCACCAGATGCCACTGCGTGGGAAGCCAGGACTTCCTGAGAATTAGTCGGGAACTGCTCGGGTACTTTTCATCCTAAATCGGAAATTGATCATACCCTACACACTTTGGGACCTGAGCTTTAAGAGTGTACTGTGTGGTTCAGGAGCAAGATTGACAAACGTAGAGCCACCAGCTCGAACAATCTCATCGGATGTCCTGCTTTTCTGCAAATTGAAATCTAAACTGGATTCAGTTGTGTCTAGAGATAGAACGCGTCTAGGTTGGGACACCGACCTTCGACTTTCCACATCCCCGAGTCATTCTCATCCACTGCAGCAGTTCGCAACTACTCTCTAAACGCTGCACAACAGCGGACACACCGATGTTTGTTATGACCCAATCAAGACATAGCCTTCGAATGCCATGACCTCCGGACTCGAAGCGGTTCGCTTCCTAGTTGCTTACCTGTCGAAGTAGTAACGTTTGCTTTGACGGCTGGTTCTGCCATGATAACGCTTGCGTATCTGAACAATCTGGCTTATTTAGCAGAAACACATTTGCGCAGTCGAAGTCGAAGTCATAGAGGCTGTCAGTGCCGAACACGTCATGGTGTGGAGGAGGCGCTCAAGAAAGAGTAGGACAGACTGCCAGCAGTCAGCACTTGTGGAGAAGTGAAGTATGGTTCCACATCCCGCTGAGAGAGAGAAGAGGTGGCGTGAGCATTGTCCAGGATCGACTGTTGTAACGTACAATCACCCAAGCGGCAGAACTTCGTATACCTACGTATCTGCCTCAGGTAAGCTAGGCTCAGATCAAAACTGAAGCCATGCGGTTCCCGAGATCATGTGTTTCTGACATGTTCAGGCCACAACAGGAAAAACAAGGCCTTCGTGTCTACTACACAAGCTGGAGAGCTTGTGTAGTAGACATGATGGATGCCCCTAACAGGCTGTAAAGAGGTCTGTCTCTTTCCATGCTCTGGACAGCGAGAAGAGAATGCAGAGCCAGAGTATGAAGTTTTGAACAACACATACTCCATGGCCAGTTGTGTGTTCTCTATGTGTCTCCCGAAGGTCAGGTCTGTTCTGCTGCAGGAACTAATTGCCCTAACCTTCAGTGAATTCTGCTCTACGGTGCGCGACAATTGCATGCATCTGCTTGTTCTGAAGCTGACAATTCCTCCTGCTTGCCACGACCAGGGCAGAAGTTTCGCTCGTGGAAGCAATGTGTACGGTACATGGGAGAAGATCCTCTCGAATCGGTGTCATGGAAGGATACGAGCTCAAATGGAGAAGAGACGAAGCCTTGCACGGCTGGCGCTAATTACATCCAGTCAACAGAAGTACAGGCCCTACCATGGAGGCATGTCGATAGCACCCATCCCTCATCACCAGGAGAGAAGGGCAGTCTCAGTGGAGACAGGTCTGTAATTCGCAAGTCTCAAACGCTGAATGTCATTTCTTCCTCATCTTCATCTGAAGATGAGGAAGACAGTCGGGATCAGAAAGCTCCTTTAGCACGTAAGCAAGCAATCTCCATTTCTTCTTCGAAAGAAATCGAAAATGATACCGACGGCTCCTCTTCATCCGAATCCTTGGACGACAGCAAACAAGCTGCTGCAGCTGCACATTCTTCTTCTTCTTCGTCTGCCGTCTCATCGTCATCATCCGACGAGCTCGATGATCGAGAAGATGCAGACAAACGCCCAGGTCCCTCGCAAGATTCTGTCGAGAAGCCGGATGCTCTAGGTCCCAACCACACGATCGACATTCCGACGGTCAGAGCGGACACGACGCTGCTCCTCAGGAACTCCGACGTGACCGAACTCGCGACAGCCGCTGCAGACCCGACTCCGACTCCGACTCCTCCAGGCCCGAACGAGAAGGCAGCAGGAGCAGAAGCTGACGCCCGACGCAAGAACCGCGGCGAACGAGGAGGCCATGGCCTTGACGCGACAACAAGTGCAAGGGGAGCAAAAGAAAAAGGCAAAAGGCTCGCCACGAAGCGAGCAGATTTAAAGCAGAAGCGGAAGGTGCGTGAAGATGCAGGAGAAAGCCTGGGCACCAAGTGCAAATCTCGAGGCAGGCACGAGCCACTCTCCTCGAGACCGAGTCGATCCCGCGCTCGAGAGGCCTCCGACTCCGACTCCGACTCCAGCCTCAAGGAGCGTCTGTGGAAGGCTTTCGAGGAAGCAATCAAGCGCAGAAAGTCGTCCACCGCCCGTCCCACCCACAACTGCACCCGAGACCCCGGCACCAGCCGAAGCACGCACTGCCACTGCTGCTGCCACGGCGCTGCGGTGATTTTCGTCTGCCCTTGCAGCGCGACCACACCCCTCTCGTGACTGCAGCCTGCATTTTTGCCCGACCATTTCATCCCCGAATCCCGTTGCAGCCTCGATGGAATCTGCGTCTGCATGAGGTGACATGTCGTGCCCGGATTCCGACATGTCACCTCATGCACACCAGCTCTTGCTCTTCGAAGCCAAGGGACAATCATAGCTTCACTCCATCTCCCACTTGTACTTTGTTCTTGCTCTCAATCTAGAGCCAGATTTATATCTACATGAGCAACGTTATGAACGAAAAGTAATTACGACATTACTTTTATAATCGTTAATCTATATCAAATATCTACCTCACCAAGATACACTAAAACACAAGAGAATTTTGATCACAATGGTAATAACTTTTGGTAATGTCTAAACTTAAGAATTTCTGATAATGTTCTTTACATCTCTAGCTTCTAGCTGTGGCCACTTGATTAATCATGGTCAACTAGATAAATTACAATCAGAATGATATCAGATTAGTATTTATTGAAATAAAATGAACTTCTTAAATTTAATTGTCTACAAAACTAGTTCATATGTGTGTGATGTATAATCTTGGTTGAACCTTAGAACTAATTGAATGAGCTGCTACCTTATAAGTTAAAGAAGCCGGCAGGCAACCAAGTGTAAATTATTCTAGGCCAATTGTTTTAAGTTTCTTGAGCATTGGAATAACTATATCAAAATATAAAATATTGTTTCGCATGTTTGTGAGATCTTGGAAAAAATGAAAATGAAAGTTCGACTAGTGGCCAACTTGATTTCAATAAAGTATAATGCGATTTCATATTAGAGAAGAACTTTAAAGAAATTTTGTTAACCTCTACATCATATGTAGACCTTTGGAATAAATATATCTTAAATATGAGCGTCATCCATGAGTACATGTGGGGTTTCTATCTGATTCGCTCCACACACGAAAGTGTAGATTGGGCTGGGCGACGGGAAATGGTTACGTGCTCGATGATCCGTATCAGTCACAAGATGTGGATGACGAACAACTTACTCGCTATATGCTTGCATCAGTAGAGTGGAAAAGTAGCATGGAATCGACAATCCAGAATCGTCAATTGTATCCATACTGAGGATTCTGGATTTAGACGTATGTCGAGGACTATATGGCTAGACTGAAGCAGCCTGCACTGGTCCAGGCTACTGCTGTAGTTGCCACTGCCCATCGAGGTGCCCCTTCAATATGATGTTCCACTGCCTATCGTCGATCCTGACTAAATCCGAACGAGGATCATGAGTCTTGCGCTCGTTCAGAGCGCTCTCAACATTTGACCAAAGAGCACTTTCCAACTCATGCGGTGGTGCTACTCTCACATACAGTGCTCACGAGTTTATTGCTTAAAGAGATTGTTGAGGTGATCCAGAACTCTCTGACAGCCCTCTGACAGATCAATTTTCAATCCTGACAGACAGGTAACGTCATGTTGTAGAAAGACAATCATCCAACCTCTTTTGTCAAATTCTTCGAGGCTGATGCTCAGCGCACTTATCGTACTTGCCCGTCTGCGCAGTAGCCGTATGCGGTTCCGATAGTTTGGTAAGGTTTGAGTATGCTACAGCATTCTCTGGAGCTGACTGCCGAAGTAAGGCACGCAAGATCACCTTTAAATTGAGTCCTCGAAAATTTGATGAAGTTTGACTTTGGATGCGAATTGGGAGAATGAAGTCAAAAAATCTACAATGCTTATACGTTTGCGGAATTTCTGCTGTACATAAAAGCCGGGACCTCACAAAAGGTTTGGCTTGCTCTTGCAGTAGGGTGTCTGTGTTGTGTCCGTTGTCCTATGCTAGAAGTCTTCTTTGCTCGGCTACTCTGTGCTTTTGGCTACCTTGCTGCTATCCTCCATGGTCGCTTTGTACTGCTTGGAGTTCCGTGGACTGTAAATTTCAATCAATTTGGGCTGTTTCCTTCCACTGAGTGAGGTGAGGTAGAGGGGAGATCGATCATCGGTGTCGTACAACGTGGAATGACTTCTTCTGCATCTGTTGTCAGATCTTCATGCTACGACTGTGTAATGTCTGTGGCGAAGTTTTCATGCGCGTACGAGGCTCGAGAGAGTTCGAATCGGCTATTGTACAATCTACGCTGTCACCAGCGGAGGCAAGAAGGCGGATTCAGCTCCCAAAACAGGGGCCTTCGTGTCCGGAAAAGTTTCAAAGCCCGGCAATGCTGTCACCGCACCATCCTGAGCGACGGCCACAGGAAAAGGAAGAAGATGGCCGGGCAAGTCGCAAGGCTCATCTTGCATGTACAGAGACCACAACTCATCGGCAAGGGCATTGACAGTGCGGACACAATCCAGACTTCCAGGCCGGACGAAGACAGATTCGAGTCGGCCCAGGTGTTCATACCAAAGGGACATTCGGAAACCATGCACCTGGCCTCTGCCCCCGACGCGATACGGCTGATATGCACCCATGGCAATTTCGGAGTCTCGCGCTCCGTTCATCGAGCGTTCGTTGATGTTCGCAGATCCCACGATGACATATTCATCGTCCACGATCATCAACTTGGCGTGCACGTAGATGAGAAAGCGCCTGGCGTCTTGAGACAACTTGTAATTCGTGTCGGCGGCCGGAGGCGTAGAGGGTTCGAGTTCCCACTCGGTTTTGGTCTCACGGTTGCCCAAGCAGTAGAAATTCAAGTAATCCCTCGGGCTCGTGCTCGCGTTGTCGCCGTCGCGCGCGTGAAGCGCTCGGCCGATCTCCTTGTACATCATCTGCATAGTCAGATGCGTCCATTGGAGAATTTCCTGGACGGTGGCGGTGTCGGGCACAGCTTCGGGCCACATGGGCATGACGACGTACACGGCAAAGCGCTCGTTGGCCTCGATCTTGCTCACGATCTTGCGCGTGAGCTCCATGGGAATGAGGTGCGGCGCGGGGCAATCCGCCGCCTTGTCCCAGCCGTAGGCGCTGCCGATGAAGTACTGGTTCTCGATGTAGACGCTGTGCTTGGCGCGGCGGATGGCGCTCACGTACCCATCCTGAATCGAGCGGTCGAGCACGTTGTTCTTGCCGGTGACGAGGCCCGACTTGGCGGCCTCGCGGGGCGACTCGGGCAGCTCCACGGCGCCGCCGTCGATGGATCGGAAGATCTGCACGTTCCAGGCCTCGGGGTCGTCGTCGTCGACGGCGGGCGAGGGCGGGTCCATGTCCGCGACGTCCACCAGCGTCACGAGGCGGTCCTGCATCGCGTCGCCGGCCTGCATGCGCCAGCGCTGCTCGAAGTTGTACAGAATGTCCCACGCCGCCTCGCCCTCGATGCGCGAGTGGATGTCGTGCCAGGGCTCGCGCGGGCCTCCGCAGGCGATCGAGGCGCCGGCGAAATTCGGCTGGTGGAAGTCGTCGCGGTGCGCGCCGGCCAGCGTCCCGAACAGCGAGTGCTGCTGGGTGTCCCAGCGCCCGTCGCACAGATCCAGGCCCCCGACGAAGCTCACGATCCTGCGCCGGCCCGCGCCCCCGCGCGCGACCACGGGCGCGTCCACGACGATCGACTTCTGGTGGTGCGTGAAGGCCAGGCTGATCGACATGTCCTGCACGATGCTCAGCGCCTCGTCGGGATTGCGCGGGCACAGGACGCAGTTCACGTTCGTGTTGCGGAAGAAGAGCTCCGTGTCCTCGTCGTGCGTCGCCATGACTCCGTCCTTGTGCCAGGTGCCCGACGTCCGGTCGTCCCACACCAGCATGTTCACCGTCACGCCCTCGGCCGCTCTGCGCTTCAGCAGCTCGCCCAGCGTCACGTTCTCGGCGCCCTCGATCATGCGCTGCTCGTCGCGCACCAGCCGGATCTCCGTGTACACGGACCAGCCCGTGATGTAGATCAGGTGCCGCGCCCCGACGATCATCTGGTAGACGTCCTCCCAGCAGCGCGACGGCTCGCGGGCCAGGCCGTCGTCCAAAGCGATGTGCGGCATGAAGCCGTCGAGCATGTGCGCGTCCTGGTACAGCGTGACTCGGCACCCGGTCCTCTGCGGGAAGAACGTGAACGGGACGCCGGTGTAGAGGTCCGGGTTGATGCCGCGGCTCCAGTGCTTGTCGTCGGCCGCGGCGACGAACTTCAGCCGGAATCGAATTCGCGAGCCGTCCAGCGGCGAGCCGTCCTCGCGCACGAGGTCGAACCAGTCGTCGATTTCGTTGCCGCTGAGCACCACGGGCGCCGGCACGCAGGCTCGGCCGATTATGGTCGCGCCCACGGTGTCGTCGTCCTTGACGGTGATGGCCACGTCCGGCACGGTGTGCGCCGCGTGGATGCGGAAGGTCTCGTTCCACACCGGGTGCACGGGCGCCTTGCTGATCATTCGCGTGCGCCCTACTCGCGTCTTGCCCAAATCCACCGTGGCGTACAGCTGGCTGCCTCCTCGGCCCAGGTGGATGGTGTCCTCCACCGTGGCCACCAGCAATTGGACTAGCAGCGGCGCGCTGCCCGTCTGGCGGTCCTCGTCCACCAGCCCGTCGGCCTCGTAGATTGTCACGTGCAGCATCCCATGCAGCAAGTAGCTCGCCATCGCTCCGAGCCTCGTCGAGGATTTGGTCTCTTGATTTTGGCCTCTTTGTGAATTTGCTCGCTACGAGACTTCCATGCAGATGAGGTCGCGCAGATGAGGCTTTTCTAGATGTTTTTGGGCTCCTCGTGTCCACTCTCGGATGCTCCCCGACCGCGCATACGACCGAGTGGGGAGAGATGCAACGAGAGACGCCCTGGTCGGGCCCTTTATGCAGAGGCCACCTGAGGGCGTCTGGAATGTTTTTCCCGGGGCGGTGCTGCGAGAGGATGCGCTGGACCGCGAGCAATTCAGTGCGCCAGAGGGTTTGGAAACTATTCTCGCCTGGACCTTCCGATGCAGGCTCCACAGTGCACTTGTTGATGTCCCTTCCTGCTCCCAAGGAGGTTCTTCGTCCAGAACGACACTCGCTTTCTTCGTGCAGAATCTTTGAATCGCCTGCCCAGATGATTCATTGTCGACATCCGTCTCAGTCTCGGCCGGTTTAAATAATGTCTTTGGGCTTCGTTGCGTACAAAGGTCACGCATGCTCTCACCTTCTGACGAAAGCCGGTCTCTGAACAGGCTCAACAGCGTCAACAGCGTCAAGACCGGAGCATATCTCTTTCGGGAAGCGGTTCGTTTCACAGAGTCCGGCGACTCTCCAGCGAAGGACACCGCTGAGAACGAATACAGCCATTTTCCGTGCGTGGAATCCAATCAGCCGAAAACAGCACAAGCCACAAACAGCTGTCATATACTTTGAACGAGATCTTGAGCCTGCAGCCATAAGAGCTCTGTAGTCGAGCGGCCGGCTGGCTTCTTGGACATCCGCTTTCGTTCGGAGCTTTCAACGAGCGTGATCACTGGCATTCGCAAAGTTCGTCTTAGAAGGGCGAATCGATAGGCAATTTATCTCGTTCCCTTGACAAGGTGCTCTGCAATTTAGTCTGCATGTTCTGTGACCACAGCTGGATCTTTCTTCCTACCAGAGTCCATTACGTTCTCCTCATACCATTCGCAGTCTTTCGCGGCTCGGGCTTCGTGCATCTTCCGTGATAGTAGGTTTTCGTCACTGGGAGCGAAGATGCTTGCTCTCGTTTCAGAAAAGAAATATCGCAAAGCCCACCATTTGCTCTGCACTAATGGATTGCACAAATCACATTCCCGAAAATGGATTGGAGGAAAGAAGAAGGGCAAAAAAAAACTCAGCCAATTACGGGAAATCAGACTTGAAGTTTAGTCGGTTGATCGATTTCACGATCAACCGACGATGAGTCTATCGCGCCTCGAGGCTAGTAACTTTCAGTCGGAAATATAATTTCCGTTAAATATCGATACTGGGATGACTAGACAAGTACTTTCTTGTTCTCCGTCAGCACCTTCGAAACTCAACACATTGTGAGGGAAGATGAACGTAGTGAATTTTGTAAAATTATTTCCCGGCTCGACAGGGACAAAGACAAAGCAGACGAAACTGATAGGAAAACTATATTTGATTCCTGTAAGCGTAAAACATGTCAGATCACCCGAAGTAGTGATCCAACAACCGAAAACAAACCAACAACAGCAAAAACCTCCCGAAGATTCATCCGTCACTTGGAGCAGTTTGTTTTATGCTTATTCTAATCAGCATAAAAAAACTGGCTCCAAGTGAATTTTGTAAAATTATTTCCCGGCTCGACAGGGACAAAGACAAAGCAGACGAAACTGATAGGAAAACTATATTTGATTCCTGTAAGCGTAAAACATGTCAGATTACCCGAAGTAGTGATCCAACAACCGAAAACAAACCAACAACAGCAAAAACCTCCCGAAGATTCATCCGTCACTTGGAGCAGTTTGTTTTATGCTGATTCTAATCAGCATAAAAAAACTGGCTCCAAGTGACGGATGACTTTACTCCCTTTTCTCGCTTCCGGGTCTGAACAATAGAAAATTTTAATCTGTAAAAAAAGAAGAAGCTTATTTCAGGACAAAAAGTAAAATCAAACGCAGTTATACCAAAAGAAGAAGCTCTGTACTTTGCTCGTCATTTTGTTTAGGACTATACTAGTTTAAGTTGAGCAATCTTTAGACTTTACCGATTATGATGAATGATACCTTGTGAAATAGACAACAAAGGAACTTCGTTGTGACATGTACTTTCTCCTTATAGCTCACGAGATTCACAAAATCAATCACGTTCCAAACACCGTTGCACCAGAACACGACTCATTCCAGCCATTATTCTTTCCTAGGTCTAGAAAAGAATAATGCCGACGAACGGCATTATTCAAGAAACTATGACGTGAAACCACAAGAAAACTGTGACGAGAACATCGAGCTGAGGGTGTTCGTCCTACGACGGTAGAATCGGAACTCAAACTGTTTGATGGACCGTAAGATCACGAGAATTCGAAAAACAAAACCGACATGCATGCAGCGCTGCCGATTTAGCGAGATGTACGTTCAGGAGCAGATGTATTGAGCTTAAGCTCGACAACTCGCAGTTTGTGGCTGTGACGCGAAATCCTGTCAACTGAAAACTAGACGATGGGCGAAAATCGTCAACATGTCGTCCGACGGACTCACGTCTGAAAAAGCTGAGATGGAAATCAAGAAGGGCGGTGCTATAAGACGTGATAAGCGTCGGAAGGTAGAACAAATGACTGGTTGAAAAAATATAGTGAAGATGGCAGATGGCACATCCACGTTTAATGATCTGATATCTTTTCGTCACCGAAGTCGGTTGAGTTCTGCATCTTACTACCTGTGGTGGTCGTTTCCAGGGTCTGAAAAATCTGTTGGAAGGACAAAAGAGGGCAGGTTCGACCAGCGCACGGCGCTTGGTCGCGAAGGTTTACAGGAGATGGGACGTAGAGGAATTGTATGGTGCGGAAGCCGCCAAGGAGAAGGGCATGTTTAAGTGCGCGACATACTTCAATCAAGATAATTCTCACATCCTCGACCTGCAGGAGAGATGCCAGCAAGAGAAGAATGCAGCTGTCTTTTTGCACGAGGAGAAACTTCGGACGATTTCGCTTCATAAACTCAAGCATACAAGGCGTGATTACTCATGCCATCTCGTAGGGAATGGAGGTTCCGCCCTATTCTCTCTCTCAATTCTGAAACGTTGCACGCATCCTGCGTAAGAATCTGCAATGCAACGTAAGTTTGGAAATGGAAACGTGTGAAATGCAGTGCACCGAGACTGAAACTTATATCTCGCAGATGGCTCCGGATCCTTCAGAGATCACGAGTGCAGTCTCAGGGAACGTCTCTATATCGATGTTTGTAGCCGCGAGACTGGGCAGTCAAGAGCGGTTTTGCGATAGAGAACTGAATTCAATTTGAAATTTGAAATTTGACTGATGTACTGCTACGCTATGCCGTTGCCCATTTCAGGGCCACGCAGGTGCTTGCTTTCAGTCCATCCACACTGCATGCTTTTCCTTTGCTTTATACTCCACCAATGACTGAGCTCATATTTTTAAAGCTTTGTAGAGCTTGGGTCTTCCCATCCAGCGTCTCAAATGTCAAATGTGGCGTAATTCTCATCCAAGTTTCTGTTCTCCAGAAAAGAAAGTCTTGATGGCTAACCAAACTCATTGTATATGTGAGTTGTTTCATTATTTATTCTTAGTACAGTACACTCTTCCAAATCATCTGCTTTCTCCTTAGTTCTCATAATTTTAATCAACCTTCAATAGTATGATGGAAACTGCGTTAAATACACCGACCCTTGCTCCAAATTTTCCAAAAGAGATGAATAAATGGATTTGGTATAGATTCATATCTGTTTGCATTTGGTACTCATCTCCCATCCATTCTCCGTTGTGTATTCCATTTTCAAGAATCAAAGTTCATACTCAATGTTATCTACATTTGACTTCAATTATCTTTCTATTCTTTAGTAAATTCTTGTGTGCAAATCAACTTGTCTATCTCACATCATCACTTTGGAAACAAAAATATATATAACAAATGATGAGTTGTCTATACCCGCTAGATTCTTTCAATTTTATCCTGCTTCTTGATTAAGGGCCTATCATTATATATTTCTTCGTGTGTTTTCTAAGTATGATTTGATTGATACCTTCACGCTTGGAAAGATTTTAGCTATAAACCCTCAGATCCGTAGTTTGATGCACAATCCAATTGAGATAGGAATGTGGACGTATTCACTAGGATGTTATAGAATTAATAAAAGACTCTCATAAACACTATCATGGTCAATCATTGAAATAAATTGAGGTTATGTTGCGACAAATTTATATTTCATAAATAATTGTTTGATGAAGAAACTTCTTACATATATGATCATCATATCCTTTAAAACAATTTATCATGCGCACTATCTAATTAGTTGCTGTACATCATGGAAATATTTAAGCGTTTTAATTCTCTGTTAACATCTCAACGACAGTATGATTATTTAGATTTACAGCTATGGATGTTGAAAGTTCAACATTCATATGAATCAAATCCAGTGTTGATTGTTCAACATGCGATTTGGTTCAGTACTGTTTAGTTCAAATCGAAGGATGTTGTGTTGGATCAATTGGAATTTTGGCATATTGTATTAGAAAAAATATCATCATACATAACATTTATATTTTTTAGCAATTGCTGAAAGTTATAGTCATTATCTAATAAATAAAATGATAAATTTATACAATGGATAATTTTTATTTTTTGGAAAATTCTGAAAGGTTCTATTCAATAGAGAGCTTATTTATCTATGTGAAATTTCAATTTAACACTCTTACTTTTATTCATTTTTAACTGTAAACCAATAAAAGCATGTGTACTTCAAACTAAAATTTTATGCAATAATATAAAGTAAATAAAATCATTTATTTTTTATTAATTGAAATCATCTTTATCAGAAAATTTATTATTACTAAAATTTACCCCAAAAAAATCTTAAATGATAATTTATCCCAAAAAAATTCTTAAAAAAAGAGTTTTAAACGTTCAGAAACTTTTAAACTAAACATAAAATTTTAGCAACGATTGTATAGTTGTATTTTGGATTCATTACAAATTCTATCATAATACTTTGAAAAAGATTGGACCAATGAGTTTTCTAAAGTTCAAGAGTATAAGAAAAACTTATCTGCATATTGAAATTTAATCTTGGTATTTGATTTTACATTTCAACTGAAAATAATATGCATTTCAGGTAATCTGATTTTAAAATAATTTAATTTCAAATTGAAATCATTTAAATTTATTATAATTCTTTACGATAATTATACCTAATAAAAGAGTAATTTTTTATATATAAATTAAAATATAACTGAATCTAGAAATTTCTATGTGGGAAAAAATTCAAATATTTAGTTGTGTCATGAGAAGAAATTTAAAAAATAATTTACACGAAAATAAATATATAAATATATATATAGGGCTAAGGTGTTCTCAACGCATAATTAAATCTAACCCACAATTATGTATTTCATTCATGGGATTTATGAAATTTGAGTCGGGTTCTATTACTTGATACATACACTATCTTACGATTATTTGTCCTTTGAACGTACGTTTTGAGTGAGATTTGAACGAGCATTTCTCAATTCCCCAACGCACGTGAGCAAGGCTACTTACATTTTTGCTTCTTGCCACACATGTCTGCCAATCTCTTGAAATCTCGCCATCTGTGCCAATAGATGTTCAATCCAAAAATCCTTGCAAAGAAAACCATGCAGACCTTCAACTTCATATATCCCTTATCAGTATTAAAGAAATTGTAAGTGTCAATTCTTTCTAATTCCTTCATGACAACCTCCATTTTGAAAGCACTTCAACTAGAACTCTCGTTGCCAAACATCCAATCGACATTTCAGTGGAAGTCCGGGACTTCAAATCCCGGTTGTGACAACATCCACTAACCAACAAATGGGCAATTTATGGAACAAATTTTTTGCAGTCTTGGTAGTCTTAAAAAGATAACCATTGGTGTATCATTATGATGTATTAACATTTTCTATGAAGAATCCAGGAAGATAACTCATTTCATATTTTCTCATAGTTGACCGTGTCACAACATCACAACGGCCAAGAATTGTGCCAACATTAAGTGGAAATAATTTGTGCCGAAATTTTACGCAGAGCTTCTGGACAACTGACCATGCATAGACTATATTTGATAACTAGACTCAATACTAATAATCTCAATAAGCGAAAGCTCAAGGTAGAGAAATGGGTCAGAAACTATTTCTCCCACTTGATTACAATTTTTGGGGGTCATAAAAGAGAGAAGGTAGTCTCGGCTGAGGGCATACAATCCCACGACCACTTGAACTTCTGAAAAGCAGCACCACGAGGCAACTGACCACACACGAGTCACGAGGAAATCACGAAATACAGAATACGAATCAGGTCGAGATGATAAATCTCTCAAGCCTTAGGACGGGAGGGCGGGTTGACCTGGACGAGCCTTGGAGGAGCAGCGCCTGAGCAGAATGTCGGAGCTGGGGAAGCGGGAGCCTTCGTGCGCAGAGAGCATCTGGCAGGCATAGTGGAACTGCTGCTCAGTGAGCTCGAAGGAAAGAAGAGGACGAGGAAGGGGACGAATCTCGATTTCAAATGTTGAGCCGGGCAGCGAACACACGGTGAAAAAAACCCAGTTTATATCTAAAATAATTTCGTGTTAATTAAAAAACCTGATTTCAATAATGTTTTCAATCAATTGTATTAGATTATTAGTACTTAATCACTACACAACAATGTATTGACTGTAATAACAAATAGTTCATTTTCCTCAGAATTCATTATTATCATTGGATCTATTTACGCTATTAAAATCAGACTTGTCCTCAACATCCAATTATTATTCCAAATATAATATAGTTTTTTTTAATAAACAATAGTTTCTCAATCTTTTCATATACCAAATTCTTGTGAAATTTTGAATGAACAAATCCAAATGTTGATAAGTTACGTTTTGAGAATGTGCTTGACATTACCATGCTAAGATTCTGATTGCGATGCTCTGTAAATATTTCCAAGAATAATCATCGACTCGTGGATATTGCAATGAAATTTTGCATGTATCGGTGAGCATCTTGAAGCGATGCACTTTACGTTAAGATCTTAATGCGACGCTCTGAGAAAAATTCCAATGATGTTTTGTGTTTTAGTGAACATATTGAAACGCAACGAGTTATAGGCCTTTTCCTTATGGACTGCAATACCAAACTTTGTATAGTGCATGCACAAGTTTTTTTTCTTATCATATAAGAGTATTATCGAACCATGGGCTAGATTTACTAAAACATCTTCAAACTCATATCAATGTGCATGACTGAATTTTTCTATTAGATTTCGCAGATCCAGTAGGAAAACAAGATCATGGGCCTAATCGTTATGCATTAGAAGCATTTTGAGACTAACCAAATCAGATTTTGAAATTATTCGGCTAAAATCAATCTGCCAGTGATCGTTGTCATGAAACGATTTGGAAGTTGGTGAAAATTGTGAAGAACCTATGACAAAGTCACAATATCTGATTGATTCATAATAAGTTGGTCGATGGATTCAAAAATGTCCAAACACTTCTTCCGTTTGATGAAAAATGTGTCATTGACGATGATGTTTTAATTCGATTGCGCTCGAATTTTTTGTGATACACTAGCAGCACCATCAACAAAGTCACGCTCAGAAACGATAAAATATCTCAGCTTTTCTTATTTCAAAATTAAAATAAAAATTGAATTTCCCATCTAGTTGGAGCCGGCCCCATCAAAGAAGTTAAATTGTACTAGTTCTACATGATTCTCAATTTTAATTTCATTGCATGATAAGTATAAAAACAGTTGACAAATATTTACGGTTCTTGACAAAGAGTAAGAGAATCTCAAATAAGTAAACAAAACAATAAGTTGCGATAATATTTACATCGTTCCGTTTTTCTTTGCACCAAAAATGTACTTCACCATGAAATGTAGAGCACGCAAAGTACATCGTTGAGAATTTGTATGAATTCAATCTTCAACAAGATCCATTTTTATTTGTAGAGGTATTATCGGTAACAGCGCCCACAAAGACAGTGTTTGAATGTATTTTAATGACACGTCTAATGTTGCGAGCAATCCATTCAACTAGGTGGCTTTGTTCGCTAGTGCATACGGATTCCAAGACCAAGCTTGTTGAACATGTTGCCATGTAATGTACGATAGATACATTGCGAATATTAGACCAATTGTTAGTGAAAGGCAAATTGGTGATAATGAAAGGATAAGTTAATACTACATCTCCTTAATCTCATCATAACACGGATCCAACAAGTCATCGACTAACTTCTTGCGACTAGGCAGGAGACCTTGATCGGATCGTAACATTTTCATTTACTCAATCAAGTTTGTATCTTCCACACGTTCGAACTTCTTGCGACTAACCAGGAAACCTTGATCGGATCGTAGCATTTTGATTTCCTCAATCAAGTTTGTATCTTCCACGCGTTGGAACGATATCCCGGTGTAGTCATAGGGTTAAGCGATGGCTTTATGGAACTTCTTCTTGATTGACCATTGGTAACGAGAATTATCTTATAGATGACTGGCTGTTCAATTTTTGTTTTTGTTTCGTGGCCTTTGATAAAAGGGATGGAGCTACGCGTCTCTTTAATCTTATATACCATTCAAGTTGATTGCTGATGTTCATGCCATTCATTAACTTCTTGAATGGAGGTCAACCATCACACTCGCTTTTTCATGGCAACTTTGAATGTATTGCAGTGAAATACATTGAAAGTTGACAATTTTGGTGGTCGGCGTTTCTTCAAGTGTGAATGATTCTCACATCTTGCTAGCTTTTTGCCCTCGTTTCTTGGCTGCAGGTTGGTTTTTTTCATTTCGTAGATTGACAAGGTCTACTACTTCGATAGCTTCCATTTCAATAATTTTACACTGAGAACACTAATAACGTATATCGTTTGCAATTAAATTATATACTGCAGCAAAGTCCTTTGAAACCCGATTTTTAATTTCAAGTTTAAAATTTAAAAATCAATTTCATGGCACTAAATAATTACGAGTTTTTTAGAAAAGCCTTTTTAAAATTGATCACAGCTTGCAGCGTGAGCCAACCGCGCCGGCCGTTTTCGTTTGTATTTTGTACCGGGCCCGGATACGGAGGAGGGCAATATGAGGGCGGGTTTGGGCGTCGTCCCGCTGCCGGGTCCGACGCGTGAGGAAGCACGTCCGCTGAATCGTAATAAGTAACGGACTCCGAGTAGTCCTGTCCGAGTCAGCGAGAGGGATGTCCATCTGTCATTTGTGAGGCGGCGACGGAGATCTCGATTTGAAGCTCGGGAGATTTTTGCGTTCGTCGCAGAGGCCACATCTTCGCGTACTTCGTGATTTGGAATCTGCAGGAGCAGCGTGTCACAGAGATCTCTTCGAGCGATTGCATTTTTCGGGTCGTGTGCATGGCGGGGTCGTCGGCCTTCGACAGGCCCGGAGGAAGGTGCACCTGGTCACGTTCTCTCCCGGCAACGTCGTCTCGTGCACCTTCTTCCTCCATTGGTATTTGGCAGCATTTGAGTCACTTGCTGCCTCGACCGCACCTCGTTCTTTATGACCGTGGCCACGAGCTCGTGGTTCTTCTGCCGCGGGTTGACTCGTTCGTGCGTCACTCCATGCGCCAGGGAAGGGGGCAGATCGTTCAAACCCATCAGGTGTTTGCAGGTATATCATGGCAATTTATCGAGGGTATTTGGCATTGTTTCCAGCCTCGTGAATCTCGCATGGTGATCCTGACTGCCGATATTTCATCATATTGCCACTGCATTCCGCCTCCAGTGTCAAATTGATACTATTTCCTGTGTCAAGGATTCAATCAATCAACAGTAATTTTCATGGTTTGACATGCCCATGAATCATTTGATTACCTGCTCATTGTTTGCCTTGTCGCCATATATGCCCTCGGCAGGGCATAATTCATCATACGAGCTTTTTAAAATGTCCTCGTAATTCATTCCTCTTTCTCATTCTTATGGTGAAACTCTGAGTCCCGTGGCTTGGTGCCATGACCTCGGTGCATTGCACTTTTTTACAATGGTCCAATTTTGTACAAAACTTAAGTATAAACAAAAGAAACACCAATCGTTGTATTGATAATTGCCATCGAACCGTAAGGTTTATTCAACCGGAATCCGAAATTATTTGCTTCCCCATTTGCCTTAGGAGACTAATGTTCTGCCCTTGCATGCATCTGCTGCAGCTGAGTCCATTTTTCTGTTGATTGATGTAATCTGGGATCACGAAGGCACAATTAACTTATCTTTGCAAGCACAAAAATTTGAGCTGTCATTTCATTTCGAACCTACAACATATATTGACTGATGGCACATCAATACGATTGGGAAGTAATTTGATTGTCATATATGCAACCGTGGAAGTAGACCAGTACAGAAAGCTCTCAGGGCAAGAAGAACACTTCAACCCAAACTCTTGTTGACTAATATCCAACAAATTTACCCTTCATAGATGCAAAAGATATATATGTCAAGCTGTGTTACCTTTCATTTGTACCTCCATTTAGTTAGTGATTCTGTCTTACACGACTGCTATGTAACATGTCAGACTTCGCCGACATGTGAGCTTGACATGATTTTCTAAATGTGTAAAAAGTGCGAAAGCCTTACGCCTTTCATTCTATTTAGTCATAACGTGGAATATAGGATTCGCACAGCAGAATAGTCTTATGTTATCACCATAAAAATGAGCTGTATAACAATGAGGCCTTAGTAGATAATAATTGCTTCAACCATGCAGCTTCGCACAAAGCATTTGCATCTCATCTAAACTCACCCTAATCACATCTCAACCTACCACATACAGCTACTTTGTTGCCCGACAAGTAGTTGGGTTTCCAAACTTGAAACCTACTTATAGAGTTTGCCAGCTGCAATACCTGCTCGATAAATGCTAGCTAATAGCCATATATGTCATACATAATACAATGTATTGCAACTTTCATTGCATCCGATGCATCTCCAGTAATCCTATTTTGCAATCAACTTTGCAAATGACGATGAGCGATGACATCAATCATCGCTGCAGGCTAAAGATCATAACATAAAAGTTGAAAGAAAGTCAAGGTCACAGCAGTGACAACGAGACTAGACCTTTACAATGAGAAAAATGCCCTTACTCCATTTCCTCTAACCCAAAAATCTTGGATAGGCTTTCAAACCCTTGAAAGATTTCTCGACATTGATTACTTCCGCCAACCTTCTCGAAGATTTCCAATATTTTCGTTTTCAAAAAACTGAATAATGTAATAAGAAAGATGAGATACAAATGCAAGTTAAAAACCAATATTTATACGGTACTTTCTCCTAAAGGTAAGTTGTTGAGAACATATTGGCTGCCTACGTTACACAAGACAAGCTTAAGCGTAAATGACAAGGTTACGGTACCAGTGAGCATGTGACAGAAAGTACCGAAAGAGCCGATAAAACCAACGAATTTTGATTATTCTTGCCTGCTGAACATAAGGTAGGCAAAATTAAGCGAAAAACCAAAGGAGGGAAAGTCGAGAACTTGAACAACAATACTAGCAATATGCGCTACGCAATTTGCATTTCAGTGTACGGTCTGTCTGCGTTCACAATCTTGACCCTTGGGTGGATTGCAATTGGATGGCAGCTACGATTTAGTTGGTTGTGATAGCTTCAGCAAAGGTGAAAGGTAGGGCTCATTTCAGGACGGTTAAAAGGTGATAAGAGCATTGGATCTTAACTATAAAACCCCAATGAAAACAAAATTCAGATTGTAAATTGTCTTCAATGAATCATCGTTTGTTATGTCCATCATGCTTGCTCCCATCACCCGTAACGAGAAACCTGTTACCACCCCATCTTTCTTACAAAAATTAGGTCTTGTGCAATTTATTGCACTCTATCAAAAATCGTCGACGGAGAAAGCAAGAAGTCACATAAAGTCGAAGTCTTGGATAAGTAGAGGTGGATCGAGCAGTTTCAAGAGCTGCATAACATAAAAGTCGGACGTAAATTCGGATGAATAGCCAGACAATACTGTTGTACTGTATCATAAGTTTCATCAGAAAGAGAAGACTATTTTGCAGTATACGTGCGGAACTTGAGAAAGACGTACCTGAACCCAGAAGGTGGCATCCGGCTTGCAGGTCGTTTCATCGGTGACAGAAGCATGTTGCGGATGCCAGTGGATGTGATTCCACCATCCAGCGTAAACAACGGAGGGTCGGACTTTTTGAAAGGTGAACTTCCAGCTTCATTTTTCTGCAGCCTCCCAGACTGATCTCTTCTCCGTATTGCTGGGTGACTGGGCCCGTCAAAGAGACCAGAAACAGGTTTCTGTCGTGCTGGCCACATCTGACTATTAGGAGCTGGAGTTCCTGGAGCCAGGCCCAAAAACTCCATCGGTCTCTCGGAGTCTGCAAAAGGTGTAAATTAACTAAAACCAGGAGAATCTACCGACTGGGGTACCTGAATTATGTATTGTTTGTCACCTATGCTTTATGTACCTAAGGTAGTTTCCCAATTATGTAACCAATGCGAACTAATTGTTATCTGATATATGCCTTAAGTAAACAAACTTCAGGACTTTGATGAAGCCAAATTTTTACAAATGATCAAATTATATAAAATTCACTACCTGAGGTCCTCAATTGCGTCCGATCTTCAAATCCAGATGGTGTTGGGGCCGTAAAATCGAATTGGTTTGACTTCTGAAATGGGGGACTTCGAGAACCCGGCACTAGAGCAGTTCGTTTTACTTTCTCGTATTCTCCTCGCAAAGTTTCATACATCTCTTCCAACTTTCTCTTTTGCCTGCGTCAATGAAAACGAGTAAGTCGGAAGCAGACACAAGTTCAGCTGTGAATAATGTCTATAACCTCAAACGAGTAAATGAAGAGTTGCGAACTTCGGGATACACAGTGGGCACCTTCGCATTTTCCTTTGAAATAAAAAAACGTTTTTGTAGTTCTTAATGAACTGAAAAGTCATCATATTCTACCTTGCCTTTTCTGCATATTTTTCCTGTAATTCTTTTCTGTCCTTGAGAAGACTGTCTTTCTCTTCCTGCACACACTGGAGTTTCTTCATAGCCTTCTGGTAGCCAGCATGGACTTGCTGTAATTTTTCCATGTACTTTGTCTGCATTTCTTCAAACTTCTGACGTAGTTGCATAGCCTTACTGACTGTTACCTGAGCTTCCACATCCTTCTGACCTAACCAAAAGACTACGCCCTTGAAAGCACTCTTCATAACTGCACACGATGTTAAGGAAAACTACGCAAAGAGACGAAATGTCCACTGTGTCCACTATGTTCTTTATTAGATGCCGGCACTGTCTAGCTACAATCATTGAAAGCATCGCCAGAATTGGGATACTATAATCGGGTGGAACTCCAGCCATGGCCATCTGCACACCAATTTTAATGATTTATGATATTGGTAATGTTGGCTGTCTCTCTGATAAACTTGAAAACAAACTTTTGGGGGTTGCAAAAGAGGTTGAAATATGCTCTTACATTTACCCACTCTTCCTTCGGATTAAGGTCGACCGCTTTCATGTCACTGCACATAGTTGTAAATAATTTAAATAATGAGGCCCGAAATATCCAGAACTAGCAAAGTGATTTTAGACAAAATCACGATGAAATTATGTTACCTCTTGGATAGAATCTTTTCGCACAATGGGCATGTGGAGTCCGAGTGTAGAATTCTTGTTGCATCCTCCACACCTTTTTATAGACTTAGTTAAGGGAATGTTCAAGAAAAGAAATGGGTTGCAGTTACAATCATAGCAAAATGACCGTCCTGGAAAACGTGATAGAAATCAAGAAGGATACAGAAGACATGTCCGCAATTTGTTGCAACCCCTCGTCCTTCAAGGTTGCGCCAACAAACGTTACACTTCATCACGAACAATATTGAGGTACTCTTGATGTCCTAGATAAAAGAAGCAGAAAAAATTCATTCAGGTATTGATTTCTGCTGACGAAAGCAATCTGACCAGCAGGCAGAGTGACCGATGTCGAAAAAAACCGTGACAGGTGACTAGCAGATCTTCCGAGATGAAAATACATGACGCCAAAGGTTACAAGCAACTCTTCTCGATCGATCTGAGTTAATCCAACCACGTTAATTCAGGAAAAATCTTGCAGGCTCTGAAGTGACAACTTGAAAGTCGAATAAAATAGCAAGAATAGAACAATAAGATAAGGTTTTTAATGCGTAAAAATTAAATGACATATTGAACACCTCTGCTTCTCAGTCGGACAGGAAATTACGAAGAATCTAGAGTGCTCCAAAGAGTTTACATAAAGAGGTAGGGTAAAAACTCGTGTAGTATTTGCACTTTCCTGGATAGCTTCACCCTTAGTATTGGCCTTGATTTACGTCAAGGGAGCACATGTCAACTTGAATATATGTGTTAGGAAGCTCTAACATCTTGAGAAAATAAGACTGATATTTAGTTCTCTCTCCTTCTCGAATTCCCTTCGTTCTAGTAATTTAGATGTTGCTCTTATACCGCAGATGCTATAGATTGCTCTGTCGTCGAACTGATCTTCGAAGTTCCGATTTGTGCGTTGGTCATCTACCACTCACATTTGTTCCGGCATGCAGACTGCTTCCACATACAAACTGGCCACAACTAGCACGCCAATTGACCTTCACTCATAGGTTTGCATTTGTTATGTATAAAAATGAACCTCTTGGGTAAATTATCTGGTGCTACACACACATACGGCTCCATAACGCTGAGATCTTCTTCTCCACTGACCTCGAAAAGTGGGCCGAGAAAAGACACCCAGACCTCTCCCCTACAGGCGAAGGTCGGATCTTGAAAACGAAGTACCGCCTGCTTTGATGGGGCATAAAACTGCGATACGCAGGCTGCGAGTTTTAGCGAGTTTTAGGATGCGAATCCCTCGTACTGCACATACATAATTATTAAAGCTTCGATCGTCGTCGCACGCTGCAGCTTGCTACTTTGTTGTCGTCTGCAGAATCAGTCGTTTGGAACGCGCCAAACGCCATGACACTCCTGGCCCGCGGCCCATGCAGTCCAGTTGAAGTCTGGATCGCCCGCGGCCATGCTTACGTGTACTTTTTAAAATTGTCCGGAGATTCATCCACCAGCATCCCACTTCTGGTATTGGCAGTGTGAACGCGAAGAAACAGATTTAGCGAGCGCAGTCCTCGGACATAGGTAGGGCTCCGAAAGGGTCGGGTTTGACTTTCAACGCGAACCCGACCCGAAAAAGCGGGTCGGATTCGAGTCGAACCCGAACCCCGGGTGGGTCGGCGGATCCATGATCGTACAGGACTGCGAGGGAGGCGGGACGAGACACGAGAGGAGGAGCAGAGTTTCGCCGGACGGAGCGGAAGCCGATGCAGACGAGGACGGACTAGGTGCGTTCTTATCGGTCGTTGCTATAATAATTTTCGGGTCGGGTACAGCCCGATACCCGAACCGAACTCGGGTTTCCGAGTTTTACTCGAACCCGATCGGAGCCATATTCATACGAGGCTTCGAAATAGCCTCGTGTGAAAGTGTATGGGAATGGAGCGATTCTCGTAGCTCTCATATTTCCTTTCGAGATACAAGTTTCCTGGGAGTACTCCCAAAACCGTGAGACTTTATGATGGACGTGCCCGTAGGAGAAACTCCCGTTTTAGGAGAAATAGGAATATGACCCCGGCTCCTGATATCAAGCGAAACGTTACAGCCTCCGGCCCCGTAACACGTCAAGCCCTTTCCGCCCGTAAGTACGAAGATCCGAAAAGTTGTTCCATGTAATAAGTTTGTGATGATTAGACTATAGGATCTAACCGCTAATCCTGAAAAACAAGGATCGTTAAATGAAAATAGGTTCAAGCCCGGAGACTATTGGTTTCTACTAGAAGTAGGTGATTACTTTCTTTTGAAATTTTGTACATCATCGTGAAGCTTTATATTGACCACAAGGGTTACTTTTATGTCTGTACTAAATGTTGGTATTTCTTGCAAGATCTGGTATATGTGTCTCGCCCTATGGATAAGAACCACTTATTCTATTGTTGTCAAGGGATAATATTGCGGCCCCGAAGCTCCGGAGGAGACACATTAATTGGCTTCGTCCATGATACACACACTTCGTATGTGTTCCAGCACCTCCACTACACCCTATATTTGAATGTATTACTCTCAGAGCACAAGATTTGACTCGACAATAATGCCCATTTGGGATATCTTAGTGAAGTACGTAAGACCAACATTTGGCTACGAAGCCCTGAAAAAAGTGAGAACTTGAAGGGCCCTGCATACATGAACAATAGTCTTCTTGCTTGTTTGGCCAATGTCAGGACAACTGCCTTAAAATTCACAGTGCCAGTGCTGCATATTTCCCGACGTTATTTCAATTCGAAGTGCCTATTTATTGCTGCTGAGATACTTGGACTCATGTGTTAGACCCATGTTTCTTTATACACATAAATCGTGTGCACGGCATGACTTTCAGAACGTTTTCCTGAAATGTTCACGTACCTTTTCGAGAGAACTTTCGAAAGGGAACGAACACTGAGTACTCCAACTGCGAAAATTACTCTGCTGGCAGCCGTGGAGTTTTAACCGAGATTATTCAAGACGTTAATTCGTCGAGCTGATATTCGAAGATGACAAGAGGTTCGGTCTTCCCATGAAGAAAATGTACTGATATTTTGGACACAGGGAAACTGGAACCGGGATTTTAATTTTTTCAGACTTACGTGAATGACTATAATGATCAATTGCTGACAGATCCACGGTACTTTGGTCCGGCAGTACCTAGAATCCTTCTTCCAATTTGAGTCACGCAAGAAATCTTCCAATTTACAAAATTGTGGTTTGAGGGCGATCATGTCTGGGCAACATATTATTCATAAATTTTAAAAACTTAAAATGAGATATCTAATCGTCATATAATATGTTCATTGAAATTGTTTCTATGAAAATAAAACTTAATCAATATTTCGTTCAATGCTCCAAATTCAATTAGTATCAGATAGACTCAACCAAAAATTTCAATCTTATTTAGAAAGACTCCACATAAAATTTTATGAAATAATCCAATTTGTATCCCAAAACTATCTCACATTATAAAACGCTAAATATATGGTATATTCCATCATCAAAACTCAAAAGATTCATTAAAATTATTTATATTTTTTATCTTTTAATTTATGAAATATATATTATATATTTTAATATTTTGAATTGAATATGATAAAATAGTAAAAGAAATTAGTTATGTCTTAATGGATCTGAATTTTAAAATTTTATCATCTATATATAATAGAATTTCAATAGGTTTTTTTCTACAAAATGAAGAGATAGTTAGATGAAATTATAGTTTCTAAAAGATTAAAATTAAGTACATGGTTCGTTACATGAATACCAATTTTGTAAATTTTTCACCAAAAAATTTGGCGAGATACGTATAAACGATATACCATAAACCATCTAGGGGGGGTAAGCGCGAAGCGCGAACAGATGCTGTGGGGCTTCCACGCCTCTCCCTGCATAACCCGGAGACAAAACAATAAATTCTCAAGGAGCTCGATGCAAAGAAAGATGGTTCTTTTGAAACTCTCTGAATAGAGATGTATACTATGTTGATCTTTGGGATTAGTATGTATTTACTTTTAGATAAACCCATTAGAATCTAAATGAGTCTTGAAATTTTTTTCAACACATATAAATTGTAATATATAAGGATGATATCATAAGGATGTCCTATCTTTCATTACGCATTTCATTGTTTTATGTCTCATCTCATCATCACAAAATGCTAAGGTCACAACGCAACGATCTATGCACCTTTCTTTTGCGCGCAATTTAACGTCTATATTTGGAAAAATCTTGTCTCGAGATTGACAGTAACTTAGATGAGCAAAATGAGAATAGAAAAAGTTTTTTTAAACTAATGTCGCCCGATGCAATGTGCACTTAACTAGTGTGCATATACATTGATTTATAATCAAATACCATACTATATATATATATATAATATCAGTTCAATTCTTCTTCTTTTTTGCAAAATCCTATATTTGTCCATTTCGTAAAACCCCTAAACTCATCCTATATGCAATAGGTGAAGCTTATTGCATCGAATGAATATATAAGGTTGGAGGACCTCCCACCCCTAAAGATAGGAGAAATTTGTGTCCTACTTCAACATACTTTTTGTCATTTCTCCGAGCTTGTGCAACCGCCGATTCCATGGAGTTGTTCATGGTTAATTTTTTTTGTGATATGGAATGATGTTTTAGGGTGAGAATGATATTCCTGCCCATATTGTATAGTTGCTGCTAATGAACAAAGTATCTATCCAGCAAAACACTTTTGAAACAACCCAAAAACAGCACTATTGTGAAACCCCCGTGGTCGCCAACAGTCTTTTCTAGTCAAATTTAGCTACCCTGGGTCGCAATTCTCGGTTTGGTAGTCCTTAGTCGACTACAAGGAAAAACCCCATGACTACTTGGAACCGACCTTTCTCTCTCTACATTAACTTAGTCTGAACCACATTATTCAACATTGGTGTGGAATGAGAGAACAATGTGCGCCGCATTTATAAACGAGTGAAAGACATATATCATTAGTCACAAAACAAAACAATCTCCATTATAGCATTTAGGTCGAATGCAGCACTGGAGACTGTTTCTAAATCATGAAGTTGTTGAAGGTGAACTCTCCTACTGATTCCGCCAGAAGCCAGCAGTATCCCGAAAAGCACCGAAACCTAGTTTGGGAATGTGGAGTCATGCCTGCAGCATGTAAGTTCTGGCAGGCGGGTTCGAGATAAGCAGGACGGCCTGGAGGGTTGGGTTTGGAGTTGGCCTTTCGCAACCTCCTCTTCTTGGAACCTGCCCGTGTTTTAGTCACAGAGGTCTTGTGTGTTTGGATTTGGATCCACCTGATTCTGCTTTGACATGTGCTGGAGAATTTCTCACGCTTCACGAATGCAATCGGCCAGTGACGCTTCGACAGGCTGAACAACGGAGCAGTGGCGGAAGGAGTTGCACGATGCGTCGAGGCACGGCCTCGAAACCGATGGCGATTTTGCATATTCGGCAATTCAGGCCGTGCAGGATGTAGCTGAAGCGAGTTCAAATGCCAAACGATTAGTTTCGTTACTCAGTAGAATGTCTGTGTGTTTGTCTACGCAGGGGGTGACGGGTTTGTTGCGGTGTGGAACAGATGTGAGGAATTTGTGAATTTAGGTCTGAATATCGCGCGTAGCAAAGTATTGTGCTTTCAACGAGACTAGCGTCTTTGTTTGTTACCTGTCAAAGGAAAGGAAAGCCGCATAGCGTAGTAGTCATCTCTGAAGCGCAGAGACGAGGCTCGCGCGCTGCGTTGGGACAACTGGAAAGGGTCGTGAAAGATGACGACGCCTTCTTATGACGCTGCTGACGCGAACGATGCAGCAAAACCTAAAGAAAGTAGGAAGAGTGCGCTCGATTCCGGAGACAGAGGAGGGGAGAGAGAGAAAAGGAATGTCGAGAAGAATGCTGGAGGAGGTAGAAGCGATGATGAGGGCAAAAGCAGAGACAGGCGAAAGGAGGAAAGGAGCAGCGATGAAAGAAGGCCCAAAAGAGAGCGGGAAGAGAGCCCTGCGAAGAAAGAGAGGCACCGGGAAAGGAGGTTTCGAGAGGTGAAAGAGAGGGAGAGTCCAAGGGAACGAGATTCGCCTAGAGAAAGGAACTGGAGACCCCCGTCTGAGCGCCCTCGCTGGAGTGCCGAGGAGAGATCGAAGTTCTACAAGGACCAGGATCTAGACAAGGGAACTACCAGAGGAGGATACCGAGGAGGTCGCCGCTCATTTTCTGGAGGAAGCAGACAAAGTGGAAGCTTTGCGGGTAATCAAGGGAGATATAACGCCGGAGGAGAAAGAGATTCACGGCAAGGGAACTGGGGAGGAGATAGGCATAACGGAGGGGACAGAGATTCTTCATATCGGAGGCAACCTTTGTCTTACCAATCCAAAGGCGATAGATGGCAGCACGATTTGTTCAAAACGGTTGTCAATGTTGGAAACAGTGAAGAACTTGAAGAAGACCCTGTGGCAAAGATTGAAGCCCTTCTTGCATCATAATTTTCGACTCGTCCTTCTTCAAAGTTTTCTCCTCTGTAATTTACATCTTTTGTCTACCGAGAGAGCCCTCTTTGCTGTACAAAGGTTCCAGTCTGAGTAAGGCAATTCGACACCAGTAAAGGCGACAAACCCTCTGACTGTTTAGGCTAGGCCCTGTGAACTCCGCGTGTGTATCGTTGTATTCTGCCAGGGAATCGTTGAGAGCAGGCGCTTCGGCTCACTTGAAAGGAACGATATCAGATCGTGTTGATGTCGAAAATCTTTGAGTTCACTTGTGTGCAAACGTGACTGCTGTCAGCTGAAAAGCTATATTTTGGACTTTTATGACGGGATACATTGTGAAGATGACCTTTCCAATTTTTTACGTACCACGAATGTTCCGCAATCTCGAGGAATGCACTAAAAGTAAAGATCACTTTCAAATCTTTTCTACCTTGCAGTCTTGTTTTTTTGTAAGAATTAATAACTAATGTGTTCAAACACTTGACACTACTACCCAGTCATCCGGTTGACATTCTTCCATCTCAAAGTAATGTATGAAGGTCATCAAATTGGACGGGAACATGGAGTTTTCTCGAGATTTAAGGTGCTGGACAAAGAATTTGACGAACGACTCGAATATGAGGCGGATGCTCTATTTCATTTATTTATGTGGATGTTTTGTTGAGTGTTCATTCCGATTTTGAAAATTGGCAGTAACACATCGAAAGATCGATATGAAGCGTTGCAGAATTTTGATGTGATGCTTGTTCTGAATGACAAGCTTCATTTTCAGAACATTTTATCAGAAGAACAGTCACATTGTTCAAGCTCTCTGATGAGTGTCATGCAATAAAGAAGATATAGTCCTCTAATTGCGCACAGATGTAGTGAACGATATGGGCAATGAGTGGTGAAAGATGATCCGAAAGCTTGACGTAAAGATTTGAAATTAAAACTATGATACTGTTCGCTGGTATTCTCTTAAGATACACACTTGCGTGCAATGCAAGGCCTCAGCGCAATAATTCATTCAAGCCAGTTCTGTATATATTCAGGGCAAACCCAGTGTGGACGCCCAAAAAAGGTCCATTCCATCACAACACGATCCCACAACCCGAAACACACTAATGTACACAGATAGACACAAATGGCTTTCCGCGTTTTTAATCAAGCCAGCTTTTCGCTGATCCGCAAAAATTACAAGGAATCATGGTTCGACGATGTTTTTCCTCTCTAAAAAAGGTTGCCACCACTTGGTCATTAAGTCCTAAAACTATTCAGTGATTTTTTACAATGCTGGAATAAAACCATCACTTCCTGGCAGAATTTAGGTCCAGCTAGACACTTGAAGAGACGAGCAGTTTTCTTGGACAGTAATCGCGTAGTAATACCTGTCCTCTCGAGAGATGAAGCGAGGTTTGGCATATCCTCATTAGTGCAGTAATCTGCAATAAGGACACGGATGGTCGAGTAATCAGTCCACTGAAAAAACGGCCTTGAGGTACACGTTTTCTGACAGCTTATCTCGCATAAAAAAAAAAAACGCTTTAGAAAAGCAAGAACAGGGGTAAGGACAAAAAAACTCACCCGCAGCATTCGATAATTGAGCGTAACTATGTACATTAGAGACCTCTTCAATCCCACCAGATCGTGATGGACTTCCACGGCGTGATATTAGATTACAATCGTCCCTCTTCCAATACAGCTAGAGTGACAAGGGCTGTCAATCTACTCGGGAGGTGATCCGCAGGTTCTGGGAGAAATATCGTAGACGCCTGAAGAGTTGGCAAAACAAACGAGTTGAAAAGTTGTTTCCATGTAAGTTAAGTTCGAAAGTAGGCTAAGGTGAACATCACTGGCGATGGGCCTGTTCGATCAGAACCAACCGTCCTCCGATTCGCCGCTGTTCTCTTCCGTCTCTATGAAAAACCTCACTCGCCTTCCCTTCCTCAACTTATCATCTCTCTTCTTTGGGCGTCTGGTCTCCTCTACATTCCTGCAATTATTCACTTCATCCAACCCGACTAGCCGGGCTTCCTCCACTCTGCTGAAGCGAGTTACTTCAATACCTTTACCGATTGGGAGCGTAATGGAACTTGCACCGGGTCTCTTCTTCACAAAGTTTCCATAAGCGGTGGTTGCGCTCCTATCGAAGAGATTATCAGCCACCACCACCGCGCAGGTGGGGTTTAGATTCAAACGATCCAGAATAACCGCACAATCTTCTTCCTTGCAGTCTACAAGAGCAAAATCTACATTTGTGTACTGTCTGACAATCTCCTTCGAGTCGCCGATAATGAACTCGACAACCCCTGCCAAGTTCAACTCCTTCATCGCCACCATCGCATGAAGCAGAGCATTCGAGTCGGACAGAATGCAAATCAGACGCCCTCCAGTCTGACGTGCGGCAGCAGCTAGGGCAATTGTGGAAGGAGCAGCGGAAGAACAGATTTCAAGAAGCAATTGGGCGTTCATCCCAGCAGCAAGTGCTGCGATAAGCTCCGTATTGTGAGGCTCTGAGTGCCTCAATGCAGTATAGCCTCTCTGGTGATCAAGTTTGCGCTGCAGGCCACGAGGCAGACAACAATCGAAATCAGAAACTCAGAAAGGACAAATGTGACACCAAACGACACGCAAAAAATCTAACACATCAATATTGAAGCCTTAATGAATTTGCGATCACGGATCGAGAACCTCAAAGGACAGCCGAAGGCAATTGGAGAAGGAAATATTACCATTCGGATGGTTTCCAGGTAGGCACGAGCCGCATTATCAGGAGACCAAGCCATGTTTCCTGTGTTTCGTGTAATTCCTTCAACACTCGTTCAGCCTTATGGAAACTGAACACGCAGTATGCAAGCCGGTGTAATATCCTCGTGTATCTCCTCACACACCCCGAATCCTTTTCACCAAGGAGATATTTGGACCTGTGACACTACAAATAGCTATCCTAATAGTCTTGTACGAAATTTACATTCTCTCGAGCTCCGTAGACCTATCGCCGTCTTCGAAGAACCTACAATCTTGATAGCCAATCGGCTAAGAGAGAGAGCGAGATCAGAGATTTGAGAAGTTCGAAGTTCCCCAGGAAAGGATCGAATGTTGAAGCTATAACTGCTCAGCCGAGATGAAACAACTATCGGCGACAAAGATTCAAGAGAATGTGAAGCGAATTAACGGAGAGAAGCGAGAGGCAATGCTCCGCCAGAGCACGTCGCGGACCAATGCAATTGAAACCCTCTGCTCTCAGTCGTCAGAGAAGTTTCGCCTGAAGGTCCCGCACTCGAACTCGACTCGCCTCCAAAGTGCGTACAATGTACGTAAACTCTTCGCGAGAACGAGACAAGGGAAATCAAAGCGAGTGATATCGACTGTTTAACCCTGCGGGTCAAGAAGGATTTAGTTTCTAATCCGACCCGAGAACACACAATCGCGCAATTGGACCCCGCCAGGCGATTGCGACACGCCCATTCACGGAACCGATTTACGCAATGAGGTGTTCAGGCTCCAAGCTAATCCTCCTGCTGCTGGTCTAGTGAGGATCGATTGATCGTCGACCGGTGCGCACCCCTACTCTTTAAGCGCCCACTCTCCTCCTCCGCCTTCCGCCCGGGGTCAATAAAATATTCGGCCCGAGAGCTCGAAGCACATCAATCAATCAATCCACGAAGACTTTTTCCCAGCTACATGGCTCGCAGCACCGCCCCCCGACCCAACGCCGCGCTCGAGCACACTGCAAGAGGTAGATGCGCTAGACGCTCTCGCACGCGGCGCTCGACACAAACGAATCGCCTCAACCGGCACCACTGTGATGAGTTTACCCCCAGCCTGGCCCAGCCGGACAGACGCTACCAGGTACGGCCAGCTGCCCGAGCGCCCGACGAAGCAGCGCGGACCGGGCAGCGGCGAGGAGCGGAACGCGTGAGAGCGGAAGAATCTCGAATCTCTCGACAGCGGAGTACGGACAGCTGCCCGAGCGCGCCGGGCCTACCACAGCTGTCGCCCTCGGACTCGCTCGGGACCTGTGTTAGCTAACGCCCGCGGCCCTCTAAATTCGAACGCGCTGCGACGACAGCGGCGAGCTGAAGCTTGCTAACCTTGGCCGCACAGGCCCGTTCGAGCGAGGCGGGCGCTTCCCGCTTCTTTAAGATCTCCGGCTCTCGCGTCGTCGCGAGCCCTGCCCTCGGGTCGGCGTGGTGGTTGTCGCCGGCTCGTGACGCCCTCTTCCGCTTCGCGAATCATTCCGCCAACAGTCGGTCGCCGAAGGCCGCAGATCGCGTCCAGATCGACGGCCTCGCCGGGCGCCCGAGAAGCTTCGAACCGAAGTAACCGACCTGTACAGGCATGGCATCGCGTGCTCGCTCGCCTATCGATCGCAGACGCCGACGTCATCCCGCGAGGCTCGTCGCGCGACCTCGGTGGTGCAAGCGCCGTCGCGCTTCCGATCGAACCGGGGCCGGCCTCGGGACATGCATCCGAAGACCTCTGCGACGATTGCTCGCAGTGCCCCTATCGCAGCAACGATGCCGCGTCGTCTTCGGCGCAGCAAATTTCGCGTGGCCCTCCGCGCGGTCTTTCGCTGCGGGGTGTAAGTACAATGTACAGGATTGGATGTTTTTTAGTATTTGCGGCGGATAAATTTAGGGCCCTCGCGTCAGAACTTGGATTCCTGACATGGGTGCTGCTGCTGCGGCTTGTTTTGTTTGACCCTCGTGATTTGTCTCCACTGTCTTGGCTGCATCTCTTGGGTGGAGATCATATATCCTAGCGACGTATCTTGATGTTACCGGGCTAACTTTTCTCCTCTATATCCAATTCTTTCCCCTTTTCATCTCCATCTCCATCTCCGCACGCACGATTTCGGTCGGCTTACCACTCGCTGTTATCCCATCCCGTTTATCCCTACCAAGTTAATCCCATTAGCTTGGGAAGGATAAAAGGACGTGAACATAATATCCACGAACACGATGGGAGTGTATATACATAACATATGTACATAATATACATATGTTCACTTTCAATGCTGAAAGAGTAGATTATTCAAAATCTCCGAAATCTCACGAGTCACTTGTGTTCATTGTTATCAGGTAATCATCATTTAGTGCCTTCAAGTACGCCAGCCGACATTGATAGTCGATCTTCTGAACCATATCAATGGCATGAAGAGAAGGAAACTTCGATTTTACTCACTAACACTATCTCTGGGAGTCCTCAAGTCCTTCCTTTGTGGTACTGCGAATTCTCACCCAATTCCCCTCTAACATATGCAGTTTCAGCATAGTCCCCAGGGACAATGCTGAAACTAGGGTTCTTATAAACATGTATCTAAAATTCATCATCCGCCATCACCAACTAGGACTAGCACTAGATAACAATAAAAATAAGCGACTCGTGAGACTCGGAAACATAATAATTATTAGGTTCGTGAATATTATATACACATCCGTTTATACTTCCCAAGCTAATGGGATTAACTTGGTAAGTATAAACAGGATGGGATAACAGCGAGTGATAAGCCGACCGAGATCGTGCGTGCAGAGATGAGAAGGCGAAGGAATTGGATATAGAGTAGAAAAGTTAGCCTGGTAACAAGATACGTCTCTAAGGTCTCTTATCGCTGTGGACACCCAAGAGATGCAGCTAAGACCGTGGGGACAAATCAACAGGTAATCATCATTTATCCCGTTACTTGTGTACTTCTGAAGCGTTTAGTTCTCCTGGTAACACCGCCAGCTGGTTTGTTTCTTGTGATCATCATTAGTGCTAATGATATGCAGAGACAAATTGAAGCAGATTGTGTATGAAATAGGCCGGGTGTAAAGCTATATTTGCAGCTATTATTTTCCTACTTGTAAGCGGGACGAATTTGCCCCTGGCAGGACCTCCCACCAATTTACCAACTCTTGCACCTGGTCCAGCTTGTCACCCAGTAAAGACTGAGCTGGCGTAGAAGGCCAGTTTGTTAACCAAGGAAGAGGTTCCGGGCTCTCCTTCCGTCATTGAGCTCTAGACTTGCTTGTACCAATCACATATCCAGATGAGAGGCAGATGCTTTTCAGATCTGCGCCTGGGCATCTCCTACACCACGTCAGTTGTACAGTTTGGGAATTCTCTGGTGACGTAGGGTACTAACTACCAAAGTGCGAGAAGTTAAATTCCATAGATCGGTTTCCTTCGAAGTATAGAAGCAAGGCTTCTTCTCTTAAAAGCCAGGATGAACTCTTTTGTAGCGTCGGATCTTGAGCTTCATCCAGTTAAAGAACCTACGACACTTTCCACCTCTTTATAGCGCGACCATTGCTTCGCTGTGAGTTCGTGTCTCGGAGATCTGGCCCACAAAGTGCAATGGAACTTTGCTTGGCCAAAAAGAATTCTTGTAACGCTCTTGCTGAATTATGATTCAGTAACTCTGTGAAACTAATCTCCATGGTTTGACATGGAGATTAGTTTCACATCTCAGGGGGTAACTGAATCATGAATCAAGGGGAAAGAAATAGGCACATGTTTATAACATGTCTTATTTTCTTCACATTAAGCCCTCTATGAAGCCAAGAGAGAATCTAAAAGCCCTCTACTCGGTAAGAGAGGATGCTTTGGATAAACATAGATACAAAATAGAAGCCCTTAGGCGAGGAAAACTGAAAGGCGAACCAAAAGCTGCAACATAGAATCTGAGGCGAACAGAAGGATCTGAAAATAATCCCAGCTGTCTCCCGCGTCTGTTACACAGAAACAAAGATCTGAAGAGAGCGAGGGAGCTATATATAGAGAGAGAGAGAGAGAGAGAGAGAGAGAGAAGTATTAAGTGGAAAGGAAGCGGTTGTGGGTTGTGCAAGACTTAATCATATAAGTTTCGAAGAACGTATCGGACAGGGCCAAAAAATGCCTTTCTGTTCGATCAAAGCACTACGCCCCTGATCGTGCAAGAATCTTCGAACCGAGCTCAAGGTTTAGATGGCATGCGTCTCTTCTCTTTGAACTCAAGCCTCGATACCCAAAATGGAGTCGCAGTCCATGCCTGGAGCGCCTTAACTGTAAGAGGTGATGGCTCTCTCTCAGCAGATTTCGAAGTGGGATGCACTTATCAAAACGGTGTACACGTTGCTGTGAGCATGCCGGGCTCTCCGGTGCCTCATCTTTGAGCTTTGATACTCTAGCGTGTATCAAAACTTGATCGCAAGAGTATGCGAGGATCCTCCGCAGTTCGACCCTTGATTGCACCTGGTGTCCGTTATGGGAAAGCTTTTAATCGAATCTCTCTTCTCTAATTTACTAGTAGTTTTTGGATCATGGTCACGAAGGTGCATCAATCTAGAGATCTTGACCTTCGAGCCTCGCTTCCAGCACAACAACAGATCTAGCTAGAGCCGAGACAAACTTCAGAAGTCGTTAGAGTAAGACCCAGTCTCCGTTACATCTGTCTCTAAAAAAATTAAACAAATGCTTTTGGGTACTTGAGATTCAGACACACATAGTCCAGATCTTTGCTTGCTGCGCAAGCTATTCTTCGTCTTGCGAAGGGAGAAGAAGCAGCAGATCGAATACCCGGTGCTCTCAATGAGTAGAATATTACAGATTCGTGTACAAGGGGAGGTGGCAGACTTTGCTAGCCACATTGTATCATGAGGTCGGTTAGAAAATTGGTCGGCTATTTGTCATGAACCACCGGTCATCTTTTCGGTTGCCTCTTGCTTTGTCAAGGTTCTGCGATTGATATGGTCTAGTGAAATGGGACCCAAGCTTTGCTGAAGGACAGCAAGAACCCTATCGGCATCGAATGAGGTCCCGGAATCTTCTATCGCCTCAGAAGTGTGGCCGCCTTGTACGGTATGAGTTGCTCACGCAAATAGGAACCTCCTGCTTACTTGCTACATCTCCCGCGTCGATTGGGTCGCCCATGTGTTCTAGCTCCACGGATTTCTTCCCTATCTGTGGAGCCAGATCGAATTTCCCTTCAACCCTCAGTCGCGAAGTCTTCTCTATCCTGCCCTCATGAGGTAAGTAACTCCCCGAAGCATCCAACAAACAATGTACTGTATCGTATTTTGGTACGTATATGTCCCGTACCGATGGCAAAAAGTCATCGTGCACCCGTCGTCGTGTTCGAGTCATCTGGCTCTCCGACTGACTGATGAATCCAAGACCTTCCTCTGGCTCCATTCCCGATGCGTTTTGAAGTATTGACCAAATCAAACGAACTGTTTAATGAATACAAATCAAACGAAAAGAAGCACTGGGAATAGGACAATTCAGGAGAAAAAAATCCGAAGGCGGACATTCAGAAACCTAGAAGACAGTCTTTAGGGTGTGGAAAACCCACTCAACCTCGATGATCGTGATCGTCTCACCTCACACATCCCTTTGCTCCGTCTGTACGCTTTCGATATTTGTGATGGACTATGTTGTCATGGTCACTCGTCGAATGCCGAGATTTAAGTTCTCATCGTACCACCTTTGCATTCTCCTTTTCTGTCAAACAAACCTTATGCTCGGAATTCTGACGGAACAGTACCCTTCTGAAGGAAGCCACGGATCACTGACCGGTTATTCTCCGAAATTCTTCCTAAATTCCGGCAACACATGATGAAACTCTTTGACTTCCGTATCATGGAACACTCTGGATTAAATTCAGCATTATAAAAGTTTACAAATCAGAATTTCATTGTGCTCCTCATGCTAAACTCTCGAAGTTGTTTATTAACTTCCTCCCCAACAGATCTACGGAAAGTTTGACCTCGAAATACTATTGAACTTCGAAGGTCACGACCGACATGTCGAAAACTAAACTATCCTTCTATTCAAGAGTAGATCATGCTATATGCAGCAAGCATCGACAATTATCGAACCCCATTGTATATCACCCTTCATCACTTCATGTGGTGTAAGAAACTCAACTTTTAATTTTCCGAAAAGCATGTTCAATCTCTTCTTTTACCTGCAAAGCATTTTTGGATACAATTGCTGGAGACTAGTGTTGTTGGAACTATGCAAAGTTTGGTATCATCACCTATGGGCCAACTGATATCACTATCAAAAAGTAAAAATATGGAGAAAGTGGAAAGCATGCAGGAAGTTGGACTACTTGTTGATCAATAAATCTCCATGTTCTAATCAGTTGAAACATGTTGTTGCTTCCAGTCCATCGGTTGTCATTAACACATAATGAAAGACCAGAACGAAAATGAAGGGTTTTCGGTTGTTACCAAAGGTATTTTCAATGAATTAGAATAGAATGAGTTTCAATTTCCAAAAATCATGTAACGTCTATAGCTACTTGTATACCAACTATTCCTCACAACATATATAATATATTTTTTACTCTATGTATCCATCCACGTACATTGGTATGCATAAAGCTTAACCTTTTTCCATTTAGGTACAAAATTAAATAAACATTTGATAGTAATTTGAACAACTCAGTCAGTCAGTGAAAGATTACAAAGCCTTGCGACATGTATACATATTATTTTTTCCCTACCGTATCTTATGAAAAATGAGTTATACATTGTGTATCTATCACTTTACAAAGAACACTATTAATGGCAACTCGTAAGATTAGTCAGGATAGTCAATGATTTTTAGGCTCTTTTAATTCTTTTATTATTTTATGACATTGTTATAACCGACCCCAAAAGAAAAAAATCTAGCCAAAATCATAGTCCTATATTTTCTTTGCCTGATATGAGCTTCACTCCAAGGGTTACGGGCCAGTGAATAACCAGATTGACGGAAAGGCCCCATCATATTGAAAAGGGGAATGAAAATGTTCAGACAATCAGACGAGTTTGTTGACTTCTCCATAACGTTGTAACCAACGGGGTCACGCTATTGTTCTCGACCACTTATGACCTCTTCCCTTCTAGCCCTTGTGAAGCGAGTGTGCCCCAGGGCGAGGACAGAGATTTGGTTTTATGCTTATCCTTTTCCTGTAAGACCCTTCTTGGTCATGCTCATTTTTCCGCCTTCTATTTATTTGACTTCATGATCAAATGGCACGGCTTTGGTATTATTTTGAATAAGCGAATGGGTGTCTCAGGATTATTAAACTACCGTTTATCTTCTGGACTTTTCACATGTTGGTCAAGAGACCTAAAATGTAAAGACGAGATCACGTACCGTAAAGGGCCCCCATTCCTTCACCCTATCGGAACGAGTCCAAGCAATTTATTTATCTCCGTCAAATATCCATTCATCTAGATGGTCGGGTAGACTTTGTGAATATCATCCACCAAGTCTTCCTGGCTAAGAACTGACACCTAGTTCGAACAACGAGTTATATTATATAATGTATATGCTAATATATGTACCTTGTAAACATTATTTTATGAAAATCAAAAGACCTATGGATCTAAAGATTTGTGTATATGCAGGTTTATTCCCCATGAAGAACTTTGGCTTTGTGTCCTGGCATCCACCGACAAGAGACTGCCATGGCTGACAAAACAATCTGCTGAATTTGTATTTTATTTGCAATTGGGCATTGTCAAACTGCGGAAATCGTGATGAGTTGACAGGTGAGGGGAACACGCTTCACCGATCATGCACAAGTGGTACCATCGATTAACAGGATAATGCCAGTGCCAGTGCATTATCAAGAGATTGTGACGAAGATGCCATGCGAGATGGCTGCACTATTGGCTTCTGATATTCTTGTTCCCTACGAACGGGAGCCGGTCACAAAAGACGCCGCACTCTCTCTCTCTTCGTAGATATTCCTCGCCACTGCAGCTCGACTGAACTGGAAGAGAAAAGATGCGCACAGTTCTTGAGAAGACGACCCGCATACTGAACCTTCGACCTGCTGGCATAGCCATGAGATAGAGAATACATTCGATGCTGTCCATTACTGTCCCATGATTCTCCTCACGCCCACGCCCATGTCTGCCATCCCCGAGCGTGGCTTCTCTCTCGTGGATAAAATTATCTCCAGACCAGACGCTGCTCTTTTATCCCTCGCAAGGTGGCCGGCGCCAGCTGAGGCTCCCAACACCGTCCGCCCGTGGGCGGTCAAACTCCGCAAAAGCGCCTCGATCTTCCTCCAGCCAGGAGGGCTCACAGTCGGCGAGATATTTCATGCCTTATCCTATGTTAGTCGATGGGTACTTCCGCTGGACACATGCATTAATCATCTATTCAAGTTGCAAGCTTTTGATGGATTCCGAGTAAGGTCTAGAATATACATGTTTTCAATTTGATGTGTATAGAAAGCTACAATGCCTTATCCTATGTTTGTCGATGGGTACTTCCGCTGGACAAATGGATTCATCATCTTTTCAAGTTGCAAGCTTTTGATGGATTCCAAGTAAGGTCTAGAATAAACATGTTCTCAATTTGATATGTAGAGAAAGCTACAATGCAATCGTCACGGAGAAGAAACTCTCTTCTTCTATAATTGAATCGATTTTGGAACATCCGGTATGTTGTTTCATATACAAACCTATGGGATGGAGCTCAGGTGTATCCCTGATAGTTGGAGCAATAAATAAGAGAAAACATACCTATAACAAAAGATAAAGATAAGAAACATCAAACGCAACGATTCACATGCAATTCAGATAATTAAACTTTAACACTGAGGGTTAGAATCAAACCATCATAAGCCTCAACTTCTCCAGGTGTACATAAGAAGTAACTGCATCATTTTGAAAAAAATTTACTCCAAATTATGCAGAAAATAAAATTGAATAAGGATAGATATTTCTTTATTTAGGCACTTATTATAATTTATTTCAGAAGCATGATTCTGCAATACAAATCAATTATCCGCATACATACCTCTATAGTGGAGAGCAACGATTCTATATACACTTGATTTCAACGTCATATCTCAGCTTCGTGTTTATCAAAGTTGATTGAAATTACAAAGAATATGGCTAGAGGGAGGAATAAAATATAGGAAACGGTAAATTTCAGTGATATGAGTTCAAATAAATAAGTGAGTGGTCGAACTCGGCAGGCCTACACATCGAAACAAGAGCACAATACAGTTGGTTTAACTATGATATCGACAAACCTTTATAGAACAATGAACTAATCTCAAATAACATACGTCTAACAAGTAATAAGCAATTATTTTCTTAAAAGTATATACGTAAGCTGTATTTTCTTGATGTAAATTTTTTTCTTCAACATTCAACTCATGGCTACATTTATTTTTTGTTCTTTTAACTACTCTTATTTAATCTGAAACATGTAAGAGAAGTGAGACACAAACAAGTAAAACACATACCCATGGTTTCAATACATCAATATCGTAATTCTGTGTGACTTGACATTGCGGTAATGAACCACTTATTTTTTAGTAGACTGTTTCTATAATAATTTGTGTTTTTTTCATGAGAAAAGAATTATTTGTTTTTATTTATCATATTTACAAATATAAATTTAAAATGTAATACATAAATCACTTTTTAGAATGATTTTTATATTAAGTTCATGTATATGATATATGATGAATTAATTATTATGTATCAATCGAAAAGATCTATAGATAGCCTTTTTCTTATTTAAATAATTATACTTTAATATAGTCATGATATTACTCATATATTTTCAAATTTCAATTCATTTAATTTTCTAAATAAAAATTTGAAGTCTACTTTGAAATGTATAATATAGAATATAAAATTTGTTAAAAGATTTTTTGATATTAAAATTTTTTTGAGTTTGATTTCAATTAAGAAGTAATCTCAAGTTTTAGCTATTTATAGTTAGATTGTTAGCTCATGTTGGGTACATATAACTCTAGGTTTCTCCACTCTATCACTATTACTTTTCACTACTTTAGTAACTCTCACGCGTGCTTATCCGTGGACATAGTAGTCTGAAGGTGAATTACATTACTATTGTGTATACTTGTGTTCGTCTAGCTATCATTGTCTTGCATATTTTGGACTGAAAATTGGTATTAGAACTGGTTGAGTTTTGTGATAGTGTGTGTGTTAGTTCTATGTCGTTTGAGTCGACGGCAATTGTTGCGAAAGGGATTTTTGTTTGTGGGTTATAATTTTTGCCGGTGACGATTTTGAGATGTTCAGAGTTTTTTTGAGAAAATTTTCAGTTCAAGTACGAGGAATGTAGTTCAAGGTTTCCAGCAAGTTTCTGAACATAACATCTTTTGACTTCTTCACGAGTTTTTGAATGTGAGAATGAGAACACTTAAAGTACATATGTGAGCTAGGCGATGTTTTTCAACTTTGGAAGTTTGCACAAAAAACTGAAGTGAAGAAGAAGAATGTGTTATTGCAAGTTGCGAATAGAGGAGTGTGTAGAAGATCGATGTTGTTGAATCTTGTGGATCGGAGTCTTCACATATCGTGAGAAGTCAAGTCAAGTTCAAGCAAATCCTGCAGACTGATGAGCTTTGATCATGTGTGCTAGAAACTGTTTTGTATATAAACTCATGAATGATATTGTACTCCAGTTTTGGAGAATAACTAACGCAATCAAGTCTTGAGACTTCACAACGCAAGATACTAGTTATTAATTCTGTTGTATTTTGTGAAGATCAATTGTACTTCATGTTGTTGCATCAGATTTTCTTTTCATTAGCAATCTCATCTAATGAGTTGTG